GTGGAGAGGTAAATTTGGGTGTCATCAGCATAGAGGTGATAATTAAAGCCATGGGAGTGTATGAGTGTGCCCAGGGAGGAGGTGTAGATGGAGAAGAGAAGGGGTCCAAGGACAGAGCCTTGAGGGACCCCAACAGAGAGGGGGAGGGAGGGGGAGGGGGTGGCGCCATTGTAGGTGACGCTGAAGGAGCGTCGGGATAGGTAAGATGAGAACCAGGAGAGAGCGGTATCTCTGATGCCAAGGGATCGTAGTTTATTAAAGAGGAGGGGGTGGTCGACTGTGTCAAAGGCCGCAGAGAGGTCCAGGAGAAGGAGGACAGAGTAGTCGCCCTTGGCTTTGGCGTTTAGTAGGTCGTTAGTGATTTTGAGGAGGGCAGTTTCGGTGGAGTGTAGGGGACGGAAGCCGGATTGTAATGGGTCAAGAAGGTTATTGTCAATAAGGTGGGCGCTTAGGCGATCGTAGACTATGCGCTCAAGGAGCTTGGAGCACTATTGATGGGCACTATTCCCTCCACTGACACCACAGGATGGGACACTATTTCTCCAATTTAAACCAAATGACTGGACTGCATGTGGTGTGAACTGGCCCTCTAGAACAGGGGTCTTCAAACTGTGGCCTTGGGGCTGGATGTGTTTCTTTGTTTGTCTTTATGGGCCCTTGGGACACTATTCCTTTCCCTGACACCAATGGCAGGACACTGTTCCTCTCACTGACACCAATGATGGGGCAGTATTCCTCCCACTGACACCAATGATGGGGCAGTATTCCTCCCACTGATATCAACGATGGGGCACTATATCTCCCACTGATACCAATGATGGGGCACTATTCCTCTCACTGACACCAATGATGGGGCACTATTCCTCTCACTGACACCAATGATGGGGCACTATTCCTCCCACTGACACCAATTATGGGGCACTATTCCTCCCACTGACACCAATGATGGGTCACTGTTCTTCTCACTAATACCAATGATGGGGCATTATTCCTCCCATTGATACTAATGATGGGGCACTATTTCTCTCACCAACACCAATGATGGGGCACTATTCCTCCAACTGACACCAATGATGGGGCACTATATCTTCTACTGACACCTATGATGGGGCACGATTCCTCACACTGACACCAATGATGGGGCACTATATCTTCTACTGACACCTATGATGGGGCACTACTCCTCCCATTGATACAGGTCATATTCTATTCCCACTGGCCACAGTCCAGCCCTGCTAAAGTTAAAAAAGTTAAAATTTAAAAAAAAAAAAAAAGATGTTCAGTGCAGACTTTCCTATTCTCGGTGGTTATTTTTGGCACCTTCAATTCAACACCAAGAAATATCACACCTGACAAACGACGTGATATGGCAGGAACTTCAAATGATCTCACTCAGTGCATCGCACTCCACAATTTCCTGTTGATGTAAACCTAACCCTGATTGCAAACCTCATATTAACCCCAAGGCACGGCACGTAGCCTCAAACTAACCCATAAAGCTAACCTGCAACACAACTCCAACCCAAGAGCCAGGACTAAGCGCTAACCCGGCCCATGATGGGAACCATTAGTCTTCACTTAACCCTTGAACCAAAGTATTGAGGTAGAGTGCCTAAATATAGTACACAGATGAAACACATATTGTATACGGAAGCTGTTTTACCTGCCAGAGGATTTGTATTTCTGTCCATCCAGGCCTGAGATTTACACAGCTTTCCCACATAACACAGTTGTGCCTGGCAGGGCAGAAGACCTAATTTTTCTTTGCTGCAGTTAAAGTGGTTGTAAACCCTTACATATACCCAATGAAGAAAACGGCCTCAGGTGACACACAGAGATGAAACAAATCCTCCTACATAAGTTGTACATGTTAATCTCCAGTCTTCTCTACATCCGAATTTATAAAGTTTGTTTGAGCTATAATAAAAAATGTGGCAAAGAGCTAAAATTATACATGGGAGAGCTCTGACAGCTGATTGGAAGGAAAAGACACACCCCCTTCAAACAGCACACAGGAACAGAGCTGAGGCTGTCAATTAGCTGGAGTTCCCTCCCTTGTCACCTTTTTTCTCTTGGTGTCAAGAAAATTTGTCAGAAATTACTAATGCTGATAGCAAAGGAACGAAACAGCAGACAGAAATTACACTTAGTGCTCTAGATTGAGACAAGTACACACTATAGAGGGATATGCTTTGTTCAGGTTTCATGTCTGAGCGTTACAATCGCTTTAAAGTGATTCTAAAGGCTGTATTTTTGTTTTTATAAATAACAAACACGGTATATTTACCTGCTCTGTGCAATGGTTTTGCACAGAGCAGCCCCGTTCCTCTACTTTTTGGGTCCCCCTCTGGCAGTCCTCTTGCTATGAGGGCACTCTTGTAGGCTCGCTCCCGAGCCACGCTTATATGAATGGACATTGTCCATTCACACACACAGAGCGTGGCTCAGTCCTGCCCCTGCTCTCTCCCCTTTTGCTTACTTGCTGTGATCACACAACAGCTACTGCTATGTGATTCAATGTGGGGAGAGACCCAGGAGAGCCGTAGCTCTCATGCACATTGCTGGATAGAGATGGGGCTCAGGTAAGTATAATCTGGGGCTGGGGGGGTGGAGCTACACCCAGAAGTTTTTTTTTTTACCTTAAATTCATAGAATGCATTAAGATAAGAAATGTTCTGCCTTTAGAACCACTTTAAGTAACACTTCCAGGTATCGCCCCTTCCCCGGCCCGTGACTGGTCAGTAAAAGAAGAAGCAGCAGACTGAGAGCATTTCGCTGTCTCTTCACCCTCTCCTATCATCATGTCCCTTGCAAGCATTACAGCAAAACTGATTGGTTCCTGGTGCTGCTTGTCCATATCTTAGTCTGAGATCTGCTACACTGCAAAAGGCTGCTACAAGGTCAAATTCAGATACTTTACTATTTTCATTTAAAGCGTATATCGATTCGAAAAGTTTTCTGTGTCTCTTGAAGGAACACAACACTTGCCAATGGACAGGTAAACATGGGGGCGGGGTCACTCAGTAACCACATGTTTACCTGTCATTCAGCGAGTTTCTCTTGACAAGTGTCTTCTTTTTTTTTGTGTCGGTCGGCATTCATCTTGATTGACTCTGGATTTACATCAAGAGACATGTTTTTTTTTTAATAAAGGATTTGTTTTTGTGTTTTTATTTACTTTTGACATTTTTTTTGGAGAATGAGTAAGGGTACAATGTATCCCATAGTCATTCACATAGGTGACATCTGGACCCCCCACAACCACTGGGCCATGGTTGTGGGGAAGAGGCCCTTGTCCTCATCAACATGGTGACAATGTGTTTGAGAGTGGGGAAGCCGAATTCCACGTGGCTAAATCAGAGTAAGCTTTTTCAGTCCAAGACTGAAGACAGTCCAAGACAACTGTGCAAGACTGAAGGGAAGGCTGGAGCTCAGCTTCAAAAACACATACATTATATTGCAAGAAATATTGCCCCCCTCCAAATCATTGGATTCAGGTGTTCCAATCACCTCCATGGCCACAGGTGTATAAAATCAAGCCCCTAGGCATGCAGACTGCTTCTACAAACATTGGTGAAAGAATGGATCGCTCTCAGGAGCTCAGTGACTCCAAGCGTGGTCCCGTGATAGGTGGCCACCTGGGCAATAAGTCCATCCGTGACATTTCCTGGCTACTAAACATTCCACGCTCAACTGTTAGTGGGATTATAACAAAGTGGAACCAACTGGGAACAACAGCAACTCAGCCACCAAGTGGTAGGCCACGTCACATGACAGAGCGGGGTCAGCCCATACTGAAGCTCACAGTGCGCAGAAGTCGCCAACTGTCTGCAGAGTCAATAGCCAAAGACTCTCAAACTTGGTGTGGCCTTCAGATGAGCCCAACAACAGTGCATAGAGAGCTTCATGGAATGGGTTTCCATGGCCGAGCAGCTGCATCCAAGCCTTATACACTAAGTGCAATGAAAAGCGTCAGATGCCATGGTGTAAAGCACGCCGCCACTGGACTCTAGAGCAGTGGAGACGTGTTCTCTGGAGTGGCAAATCACGCTTTTGTCTGGCAATCCGAATGACATGTTTGCGTTTGGCGGTTGCCAGAAGAACAGTAATTGCCTGACTGACTTGTGCTAAGTGTAAAGTTTACTGGGGTGATTATGGTGATTATGGTGTGGGGTTGTTTTTTTAGGGGTTGGGCTTGGCACCCTAGTTTCACTGAAGGGAACTCTTAAGGTGTCAGCATACCAAGACATTTTGGGCAATTTCATGCTCCCAACTTTGTGGAAAGAGTTTGGGGATGGCCCCTTCCTGTTCCAACATGACTGCCCACCAGTGCACAAAGCAAGGTCCATAAAGACATGGAGGAGCCAGTTTGGGGTGGAGGAACATGACTGTCCTGCACAGAGTCCTGACCTCAACCCCATAGAACACCTTTGGGATGAATTAGAGCGCAGACTGCGAGCCAGGCCTCCTCCCCCGACATCAGTGCCTGACCTGACAAATGTGCTTCTGGAAGAATGGTCCAACCTTCCCATAGACACCCTCCTAAACCTTGTGGACGGCCTTCCCAGAAGAGTTGAAGCTGTTATAGCTGCAAAGGGCGGGGCCAACTCAATATTGAACCCTACGGACTAAGACTGGGGGGCCATTAAAGGTCATGTGCATGTAAAGGTAGGCCAACCAATACTTTTGGCAATATAGTGTAAAATGATGCATTAATAAATACAGGGCTGCATTAATTTGTGTCTTTCATATCTACCTGGGGATTTGATAAAAACCTTGCACAAATGTTGGCACTGGAAACTGTTGGTCCACTTTTTATCAGAGACAAATTGCCTTTAAAGCTGCCCTCCAGTCAAAACTGCAAAAGAGGTCATGGTATATGTACATAGAGCACAACCTTTTTTTGCATGCAGGCATAGGTGCTGATTCACTGACCGCCAAGCGTGTATCTGGTCCTTCCACACAGATGACATAACCCACTAGCACCCTTCTAGTTGCCCACTGCTGTTTCCTTCAACCATCTCCCCACCACCAATATGACCATATGTGTGTCCTTTCTGTCCACAGCTGGTACCATGGTTATCTCTCGGGACCTGATGCAGAGAAACTACTCCAGGAGAAGGGAGAACCATGGACTTTCCTGGTCCGAGAGAGCCGCAGTAAACCTGGAGATTTTGTCATCTCTGTCCTTACCGCAGACACGAAAGACGGAAAGCCTCGAGTGACTCATGTCAAGATCATATGCGAGGTAAAACTTTCCATAGTAAAGAGGTTCTCACAAAAGGAGGTCAACTGTTTCCATTTAGAAAAAAAGGTCTCTACAACAGGGGTCTCCAATCTTTAGGGGGGCTGGACTGTGGCCAGTGGGAGTAGAAAAATGGTTTACTAAATGGGGGTAAAAAAAAATTACATAATTGGTGTCAGTAGGAGGAATAGTGTCCCATCATTGGTGTCAGTAGGAGGAATAGTGCCCTTTATTTGGTGTTAGTGGAAGGGATAGTGCCTTATATCAGTGGAGTGCCCCAAGGACCGGATAAAAGCAAAAAAAGGGCCACATCTGGCCCACGGGCCGCAGTTTGGACACCTCTGCTCTACAACCATCAACTCATTAACAACTATGACAGAGCGCTGAGCCTTCTCCTGAAATCTGCTAGATCTGAAATTGGCCAGCAAAAAGAGACTCCTTACATTGGTGGTTAGTTGAAAATTGCCCCCTTGTATTGGTGGTGAATGTAGGTGGGACACTAATCTGCTTATTGCTCAAGAAACACCTAGCAACTTCAGTACGAATCCTAGGGTTCCACTGAAGTGTCTATCCAGTCCTGAAATTTACACAATCCTGCCACACAGTGCACCCAGCCTTGTGACCTGTCTGGTGCAGTTAAGCAGCACATTCTGGTCACCTCCCCACCCCCAGCCTGTGAGAGGACAATTAGGAAGCAGCAATGGCCTGGTAAGATCATCTCTCTGCTCAGTCGAGAATGTTTGTTATGAGTATTGTGAACACAGGACACCTGACAGGTCCCAAGTACTACCCCACATTCTCCCAACCTAGTGCTGCTGTGTAATGAGAGTCCACAATGAAGTAAAAATCAGATATTTGCATTTAAAATACACTTAATAGAGAATAGAAATTTGCATTATTTGTGTTTTTAATACCTGCCAAGAATTACCTTTTTTTGTCAATCAGCAATTTTTATTGTGATTCTTGAAAATTAAAGACATACTGTAAAAGACAAAGCAAAACAAAACAAAAAAATTTGCCCCAAAGTCCACAACAGCCTTTCTTGACCTTGGTTCCTTCAGAGGTTGGTAGGGGTTCCTTGAGCTGTGGCTGACTGACCTCCCATCTGATGGTGACTGCATAGTCAATCCAATTTGGCAACAACATGAAAACATTACTTTCTTTAGCTGTCGGCAAGCAATTTGACCTCCACTGTAAGAAGGCCCTTCTTCCCAATGTCCATCAATGTAAAGGCATTCTTGCCAAAGGCCCAAAGGCCCCATTCTAAGGGGCATTCTTTCCACTGACCACCAATGTAAGGAGAATTTTTCTCAATAATCACCAATGTGAGGAGGATTCTTCACATTGACCACCAATGTAAGGGACATTCCTTCCACTGGCCACCAATGTAGGGAGCATTCTTCCTACTGGCAACCAATGTAAGGGGCATTCATCCCACTGACCACCAATGTAAAAGGAGCATTCTTCCCACTGGCCACCAATGTAAGGGGCATTCTTCCCACTGGCCACCCATGTAAGGGGCATTCTTCCCACTGGTCACCAATGTAAGGGGCATTCTTCCTACTGGTCACCAATGTAAGGAGCATTCTTCTCACTGACCCCCAATGTAAGGGACATTCTTCCCACTGATCACCAATGTAAGGGGCATTCTTCCTACTGGTCACCAATGTAAGGAGCATTCTTCACACTGATCACCAATGTAAGGGACATTCTTCACACTGGCCACCAAAGTAAGGAACATTCATCTCGCTAGCCACCAATGTAAGAGACATGCTTTCCATTGTCCACCAATGTAAGAGACATGCTTTCCATTGTCCACCGATGTAAGGAGCTTTCTTCCAACTGGCAACCAATGTAAGAGGCATTTTTGCCATTGACTACCAGTGAGTTGGTTTTAGCAAACGAGACCTGAAAATATTCCAAGGGTTCCTCTGGGGTTAGAAAGACTGAACTAGTGAATCATTTGTCAACAAAATAGTAAGTGCAATTGCAATGTTACTTTTTCATACAGAACCCGTCACCTAACTATTACAGTGCCATCTACTTTACCACAGAGATTCCATTTGTCTAAAGAGGCCACTAATAGGCAGGAAATAGCCGTATGTTACATGACCTGCGGAGAGTCTCATAAGAAAACCTTTATAGCTTTCTTTCTACTGTGAAATAATGATGACCTTGTTTTTTTTTTTTTTTCACAGGGTGAAAGATATACTTTGGGAGATGTCAAATATGACACGCTCACAGACTTGATTGAGGCATACAAAAAGAAGCACATAGAAGAGGTATCTGGGGCCCGGGTCTACCTCAAGAAGGTGAGTGGACAATGTGCACTAGGCAAAAATCTGATTCTTCATTGATGTCTGTGGTTTAAAGCCCAAATGAAGTCACAGAAATAGATATGTGGAGGTCCATCACACCCCTTGCTAAGCCAGACATGAAAATGATCCAGTCAGCAGAGGGCATGAGCTTTGCTGATAAAAGAGCCATGGGACTGACTCATCGGGGGACATGTCAGACCACAGCATAGAGACCACTGCTTCCACAGAGAGAGCAAGGGTTCCTTTTCTGCAGCATGCTGGCAAGAGACTGGCTTTTATAACTCAGGCTGTGGTTGCTCTCTGAAGAGAACAATTGTATGACTTTGCAAAGTTTTTGTTTTGTGCACCTGAAATGTCTTTAGCTGATTTAAACTGAACTTTAAAGTGTTACTAAAGGCAGATTTAAAAAAAAAAATAAAAATGACAAACATGTTATATTCACCAGTTTTGTGCAATGGAATTGCACAGAGTAGCCCTCTTCTCAGGTCCTCTGCTGGTGATCCTAGCTCCACCTCTTCTTTGTGTGTCCCCATAGCAAACGGCTTGCTATGGGGACAAACACTGCGAGCGAGCTCCCGACCTGGGTGTCTACGGAGCCACGCTCCATACACATAAATTATCCCAGTAGAAGAGGCGAACCCTTTGTAAGCTTTCAGTAAGCTAAAGTATTTGACTTCCAGAGTCCCTAAGAAATGTAAAAAAGATAGGTGGTTTAACCTTCAACCAGAAACACATATATCAGTCTGAGAGGACTAAACCTTCAATCAGAAAGACAGTTCTTCCCAACTTGAAGACTACTTGGTCCATGGTGCACATAAGATCATTCTGTCATCATGCCCCTATCTTCCCAGGAAGAGAGTTATAATACCACAGATACAAGTTTTTTATTCTTTCTTTAAGTTCTGAGGTGCAGTGCACAGACTGGAAGCCTGACACCAGGTGCAAAAAAAGTGAGCACACAAAAAAAAATTGCACAGGGTGTACACATGGTCCTCCTCCGAAAAGAAAGGACCCTGGCCCTGATCCCCAGGACACAAGGCTTCTGACAGGGATTGGAATAACTCGTGGTGCACCCAGCCAAAACCAGACAGACCCTTTATTCAGGAGGCCTGCCAAAACAAGGCCGACCCAAGTACTAGGTGGGTCTCCCCCAATTGGAGACGCAGACCAAAAGGCCACGTACCCTCTTCCCCAAGACTTTCAGGGCAGGTCTGAGGACTTACACTCTACTAGTCCTGCCATAATACAATGACGGGTCCTTCAGCTGGGTATAAAAATGTCTCCGGTCCTAGCCAAAAGGCCCAGCCCAGGAGGCAAGTGTGAAAAAAGTGTGCAATGAGTGTAGTGATTATGGTGCCAAAAAACTCATAGTGTTCTCCCCAACCGTGAGAATTTACAGTACCCCTGGACTACCACTCCAGGGCCCCTGGCAACACCAGAGCAGCACCAACCCTATCACGAAGGCATTAGAACTTAGGGAGAGTCCTCCTTCAACCGAGGATAGGCCTGGTGCACAAGGCCAGAAACAACCCGGGAGGAAAAAGGCCCTCCCGCCATTTACAACCCATTACATCTGGAAGGATACTAACCAGCGCCCTCACTCAACAAGAAGCAGCGGGTTTCATCCTCCCAAAAGCTGATAAGAACAGATACTACACTTGATCTTAGCCAAAAGGCCAGGATGTCAAACCACTCCAGATACAAGTGTGATACCAGCCTGACTGGTTTTAGGAATTCTTGTTCTCATCTTTATGTTGTGTGGACAGTTTAGATGTAGGTAGTAATTTGCTCAGTGTTTATACTTTGGCTTTGTTTTTACTTATTTTTTTCCTTTGTGGGTTTATGGATTTTCCTCCACTATGGTTTCCACTAAAGAAATGCTTCTAAATCTCTAAGTTATACCTCTCTTTCTTTTATAGATTTTATTTTTTTTAAGACAGTTCTCTTGATCTCATGTTTTGTTTATGTAATGCTCTTTTGCTAATTCTTCCTGCTTTTTCTATTTTAATTTTTTTTGTAGTAAATAACCCAGTAATGTGCCTTTAATAAACAAGAATTTTGAATTTGCAAAACTATTTACATTTACAGGATACTGTACAATACAAGTCATACAGAGTGCTACAAACATGAACACTTAAACACACACACACACGCATGCTGCCTATTCTTTCCTAGCAAATGCACTGGTCTGTGTGCAATAGGGATACACTGTGGGGGGTTATTTACTAAAACTGCATGGTGCAAAATCTGGTGTAACTGACAAATAAACACTGGAGGTTTTCTATGCACAAATGTTAATTGAACATGCTGAAGTTAGAAGCTGATTGGCTACCATTCTGCCTATACCAGTTTTAGTGAATCTCCCCCTATACATTGCCTAGCATCTGTTATAGCTAGTTCTCGATTTCCATAGCAAACAGGACTCCGGGCATTTTGAGTGATAACAGGAAAATTGGTTCATGGTCTTGGCAGTCTTTCTCTCTCTTGTGTTCTAACCTCTAGCATTGCCTTTCAGGTTGTAGTGCTAGCCTCATATCCAGGAAAGTTTGGTAGCCATTCCTATGCGGACATAGCCCTTTCAAACATCAGTTTCTACAAACTTGTAGATGGCAATGTCGTATGTAAAAAAGGAGACAGTTCAAATATTTCAAAAGGCTACTTATTGACAGAACTACAATGAAGCTTGAGTCCAATCTTTGACAAAAACAATGGGAGCAGCTAAAATTGTGTACTTTCTCTTGCCCACATACCGTATACCACAATAATATTTATTTTCTCATTGTATTAAAGGACAGCAAAGTTGGTCTCGTTCAATCGCTGCTTGATTTAATAATGTCATGTGTTTGAGAGATGTTCCCACAAGAAAACTAAAAAAAAAATTCTGTTTTTATGAACTAAGATTCCAAATTGAGAAATTGTGAAGACACAATGGGGTTGGTTTACTAAAATTGAAGCTTAAAAAATCTTTTGCAGCTCTACATAGAAACCAATCAGCTTCTAGTGTTTATTGTCAAACTTTAATTGAATATGTTGAAGTTGGAAGTTGATTGGCTACCATGCACAACTGCACCAGATTCTGCCTGCACCAGTTTTAGTGAATCTCCCCCTATACATTGCCTAGCATCTGTTATAGCTAGTTCACGATTTCCATAGCAAACAGGACTCCGGGCATTTTGAGTGATAACAGGAAAATTGGTTCATGGTCTTGGCAGTCTTTCTCTCTCTGGTGTTCTAACCTCTAGCATTGCCTTTCAGGTTGTAGTGCTAGCCTCATATCCAGGAAAGTTTGGTAGCCATTCCTATGCAGACATAGCCCTTTCAAACATCAGTTTCTACAAACTTGTAGATGGCAATGTCATATGTAAAAAAGGCAACAGTTCAAATATTTCAAAAGGCTACTTATTGACAGAACTACAATGAAGCTTGAGTCCAATCTTTGACAAAAACAATGGGAGCAGCTAAAATTGTGCACTTTCTCTTGACCACATACCGTATACCACAATAATATTTATTTTCTCATTGCATTAAGGACAGCAAAGTTGGTCTCGTTCAATCGCTGCTTGATTTAATAATGTCATGTGTTTGAGAGATGTTCCCACAAGAAAACTAAAAAAAAAAATTCTGTTTTTATGAACTAAGATTCCATATTGAGAATTGTGAAGACACAATGGGGTTGGTTTACTAAAACTGAAGCTTGAAAAATCTTTTGCAGCTCTACATAGAAACCAATCAGCTTCTAGTGTTTATTTGTCAAACTTTAATTGAACATGCTGAAGTTAGAAGCTGATTGGCTACCATGCACAGCTGCCCCAGATTCCGCCTACACCAGTTTTAGTGAATCTCCCCTATACATTGCCTAGCATCTGTTATAGCTAGTTCCCAATTTCCATAGCAAACAGGACTCCAGGCATTTTGAGTGATAACAGGAAAATTGGTTCATGGTCTTGGCAGTCTTTCTATCGCTTGTGTTCTAACCTCTAGCATTGCCTTTCAGGTTGATTTAACAATGTCATGTGTTTGAGAAATGTTCCCACAAGAAAACTAAAAATAAATCTGTTTTTATGAACTAAGAGCTCATATTGGGAATTGTGAAGACAATATTCTCAAAGCTCAGTTGAACAAGCTGAAGTTAGAAGATGATTGTCTACCATGCAGAGCTGCACCAGATTTTGCACTCTTTAGTTTTAGTAAATCTACCCCATTGCATTGACGCCTTAGTGGTCTTTTTGAGTCTGTCTCACCGCTCTCTCTGTTTCTCACACAGCCATATTACTCTACTAGAGTCAATGCTGCTGACATAGAGAACCGCATGAAGGAATTAGATAAGAAGTCCGAAAAAGAGGTGGCAGCCAAGGCGGGATTCTGGGAGGAGTTTGATGTAAGTCTATGCTGTAACTAGCCAGAGATCTGTAAACAGCATTCTGATTGGCTGCTGTTTACTACAGGACTTTGCTGCTGCACTTTGCATGGGTTTCCTAAGTCTGTTATTTTTCCTGTCATTTACTGAGAGTATGAATTTGAGGGATGTGTCTTTTTTCTAGTTTGGTTAAAGCAGAACTTGTTTCAGAATGAAAATGTAAGCATAGTGCCATAAAAAATAGGCCAAAGACAACTAGCATAAAAATCACAGCTCCTAACAAAGTCTAACACCTCCCTCCCGATGGAGGACATCTGTGAGACCAAGCATAAATGGCAGACAAAAGGACATGTTTGGTGTCACCTGTCCTCAATTTTCAGCCCTGTGGTCCCCAAACCCTGTATGGTTCCTCGTGTCAAGATGATGCATGCTTTGGTTGGCTCTGGATCCCCACATTCCATTCTGCCCTGAAACTTGTCACAGCTATGACACTTGGACCTTGAGGTGCTCTAATATGCAAATTTGTACACTTTCTGCCCAATCCTTGATTTTCCTATTGGCCTTTAATTCTAATGGGTGGGGCTGGTAAGTACTAGACAATTGTCCAGGTGAGGAATTAGTGCCATCACCATGTGATGGGTCGATATTTGACTGTCCCTGGCAACTATTCACAATTATATCTTTACATCAGCCTTTAAAAAATGGAAGGACCCTTGAATTAACTTTCAGGTCTCAAGGAACCCCTGCTATAATTTACTGTACCTATAGCTCACTGTATATTTGTGTGAGAGGTAGTGGTCAGTGTAGTGCCACCTTACATTGGTGGTCAGTGAGATACTGCTTAACATGGTGGTCAGAGGAGAAGGGCCCTCTTAGACTGATGATGAGTGGGGAACGATCCCATTTTGTTCGTTACTGGGAGAGTCAGTGAGAGAATGTTCCCCTTACATAGTAGGAAAAATGCTCCTTACATTAGTGGTCATATGGAAGAATGTCTCTTACATTGGTGGACAGTAGGAAGAATGCTCCTTACATTGGTGGTCAGTGGTGAATGTCCCTTACTTTGGTGGTCAGTGGGAAGAATGTCCCTTACTTGGGGGTGTGGGAATGTCACATTGTGGACAGTAGGAAGAATGCTTCTTACATTTATGATTAGTGGGAAGAATGTCCTCCTTACATTGGTGGTCGTGGGAAGAATGCTTCTTAATTTGTGAATGGGAAGAATGCTCCTTACATTGGTGGCGGTTGGAAGAATGCTCCTTACATTGGTGGCCAATGGGTAGAATGTTCCTCATGTTGGCAGTCAGTTCGAAGAATTCCCTTTACATTGGTGGTTTCTAGGTAGAAAGTGCCTTATATTGGTTGTCAGTTGGAAGAATGCTCCTTACATAGGTGGTCAGTGGGTAGAATGTTCCATATATTGATGGTCAGTAGGAAAAATGCCCCCTAGATGGCTAAAAAGATAACTGATGTCAGTATTTACTTATCTGAGAGTCAAAAATTACCTATTATTCAAGGAACCCCCCCCGCAATCTCTAAAAAACCCTAGGCCTAGAGTTCTTCAGAGCCCATGCTGGGAAAGAACTTCTTTACATTGACACACAGAAATTGATGCTGCTTGTATATTCTGTTCACTTTGTAACGGACATCTCCCTATCTTTTAGGCTCTCCAGAAACAGGAATCTAACTTACTCTATGAGAGAAAGGAGGGCCAGAGATCAGAAAACAAGAGCAAAAACCGCTACAAGAATATCCTTCCATGTGAGTAAACCAAACGGGAAGGCCAGTCCACCCAAAAGAGAAGTTTCAGGTAAAGGTGGAGTCATGTGGGCTGCTGGATTCCATAGTTCCTGGGTCGTGGCACATTTTGCCCAACCTTTGACTTTGGAGATCTCTGGAGATCTCCACCTTGTGATATAAGAAAGTCGTCTTAAACTTTCCATCAACTATCAGAAAATTCAATAGCAATTTTGGTTAGACCAGTACATAAAAAGAACTGATCCAGATTCCCAGATCATATAAAAAAAATCAAATCAATGAAATTAGAACCTTTAAAGTGAACTTTATCAACTACTTGACCTTATGCTAAAAATACCAACTTGTTTTGCATTTTGCATATATTTGGAGTTAATATGATACCCTTTATTGGCTAACTTTGGTTATTAAAACTGAATTAGAGATTCTGCTTTAGGAAAAAAAATATCCCACCTGTAAAAAACAAACAAAATAAGCAGCTCACATTGCAATACTCCGTCAATTTGCTCTGTTCTCCGCACACAAAGTCCACTCATCCACCAGGCACCTCCACTCCACTGGTGGCTAGCGTCATTCAATCCATTTTCTGTGAGCCCAAGCTGGCATGCTTACCTTTCTGGGGGTCCTTTCTGGGGGTCCGTCATCATGCTGGCCTGGGCTCACAGTACTGCTGCACTATATGGTGTGTATGCATCACCAGTGCCAAACAAAAGAATAAAAATGACCCGTAATGACACTGGACCTGAATAAAGTTTTTTTTTTTAAATTCATGGTGAGTTGGCATGACCAGAATAATTCTTTATAAATTGTGGAGATGGGATTTTAAGATACAGTACAAGTGTTGGAACTCTGTTAGGTTTCTTCCTTTTAATGTAAAATGCCTTAGGAAGTGATTGTACAGGTTTCAATAGAATGGCCAATAGAGGATATCACTGCAGACTATCTGCATCAATCAGGCTTTTCATGGACCAGGACAAAGGCTATTGGTGGAAAAACAAGATTGGATAATATCCATCTGATTCTGAGTGCCACATTAAGCCATTGGATTGGGTTATTTATGATCAGCCATCATGCACAAAGATAAGGCTTCTCGCGCATACCCCTGCATTGTCTCTCTTGTTTTTAGTTGACCATACGAGGGTTGTGCTACAGTGCCGAGATCCAAATGTTCCTGGTAGTGATTACATCAATGCCAACTATGTGTCGGTGAGTAATACGCCACGTTATAAGCAAGCAATCCTTTCAAACTTCAGCGACCGTTTTTATCCATGGTAGTAAATTATCTACACTGAACTGTCAACCGTGTTTGTTTCTTTTCTGCAGAACCTGCTTTGGGGAGCTGAGGAACCCCTCAAACATTTTATTGCTTGTCAAGGTTGCCTGGGCTCAACTGTAGGAGACTTCTGGGAGATGATATGGCAGGAGAACAGTCGGATTATTGTGATGACCACTAAGGAGATTGAGAAGGGCCGGGTGAGGTTTCAGTTGGTTTTTATCATTCTCTATGGTCAATTTAATACATGGTCTAAAAGATATGGTCAGTTTATTGATTTGCTTTCAAATAATTACTTCTTCATGCTGTTTCATTTTAAACTTCACTTACCCCTTCTTCTTTTCTGCCTGCTCACGTATTTACTCCCACCCAGCATATCGTCCTCCATTCTTCTGTCTTTCAATCTGCCTTTGTACTCTTACATCTCCTCTTTCTTCTCTCTACCTTTTTTCCTCTTCCTCTCATTTTCTCCCCTGTCTGTCTACCTACCTTTCTTTTCAGATTTACTATTCCTTCCTCTCTTCTCTCCTCCTGTCTTCCGTCCACCTCTATCCACTCTTCTCCTCCAGTCTGCATTTGTGCTACTACCTTACTTCTGTTCTCTAGTCTGCTTTCTTACTCCTTCCTCACTTCTCCTCTTTCTAGTCTGCCTCTCTACTTCTTCTCCTCTTCTCTTCCCATTCTGCTTTTTATTTATTCCTCTCTTCTTCTCTCCTCCAGTTTGACTTCCTACCCCTTCCCTTCTTCTTCTCTCTCCAATCTGCATCACTAGTGCTTTCTCTCTTACTCTATCCTCCAGTCTGAATTCCTACTCTTTCCTGTCTTCTTCTCTCTCCAGTCTGAATTTCTACTCTTCATGTCTTCATCTCTCTTCAGTCTGACTTATTGCTCATCCTCTTTTTTCCCCTCTGTCCCCCAGTCCAGCTTCCTTTTATTCTTTTCTCCAGTCTGACTTTCTACTCTTTATTCTCTTTTTCTTTTTCCATTCTGCCTTTCTACTAATTTTTTTCTTTCCACTCTGCCTTCCTACTCCTTCCCAGGGGCGGACTGACAACTCATGGGGCCCCCTGTGTCTTTGCTCAAACTCAAACAAGCCTATGAAAAAGGTACCAGGGGCATCTCATGGGGCCCCCTACTGACCCCGGGCCCTCGGGCAGTGCCCAAGTTTCCAAATGGTCAGTCTGCCCCTGCTCCTTCCTATCTTTTTCTTTCTCCAGTCTGACTTCCTACTCCTACCTTTGTTTCCAATCCAGCTTCCTACTCCTACCTATCTTCTATCTTCTCTTTTTCAGTCTGACTTCCTATTCCTGCCTTTCTCCAATCTAACTTCCTACTCCTTCTTCTTCTTCTTTCTCCAGCCTTGACTTCCTACTCCTTTCTCTCTTCTTTTACCAGTCTGACCTCCTAATCCTTCCTCTCTTCTCTTTCCATGTTGACTTTCTACTCCTTCCTCTCTTTTTCTCTCCCACAGTCTGCCTTCTTACTCTTTCCTCTCTTATCCTCCATTCATTTTGCCTTTTCCAACCACCTGTCTTCTCCTTCCATCCTGTGTTCCTCCTGTTTTCTACTTCAGACTGTCTTCTCATGCTTCCCATGTTATCCTACCAATCCTTCTCTCTTGGTTTTTACCCTTTTACTACCACCCCATCCTGCCTTTCTACTCCTCTTTTATTATTTTCCTGTCTTTTAGTCATTATGTGTTCCTTCTTTTTTCCACTTCTCACATTCCTGCTGTTTTCAAGGCAATGTATACTTTACTCTTGTTGGAATTTCTGTTATTCTCCCACTAACTTCATTTGTCGTCACCTTGTTTCTCCAGTCTGACTTCCTACTCTTACCTTTCTTTCCAATCTAACTTCCTACTCCTTCCTATCTTTTTCTTTCTCCAGCCTTGACTTCCTACTCCTTTCTCTCTTCTTTTACCAATCTGAGCTTCTAATCCTTCCTCTCTTCTTCTCTTTCCATTTTGACTTTCTACTCCTTCCTCTCTTTTTCTCTCCCCCAGTCTGCCTTCTTTCTCTTTTCTCTCTTAACCTCCATTCATTTCTCCTTTTCCAACCACCTGTCTCCCACTAACTTCATCTGTTGTCACCTTAGACTAAATGTGTGCCGTACTGGCCGGATGCAGACACAGATGGAAAAGAGTTTGGACATTTCTGGGTGGAATTGGTGTCAGAACATGAAGCCATGGAGTACAAAGTTCGTACGTTACGAGTGTCACTTTTAGAAAATGTAAGTGTTTATGGTTCTCACTGCTTATTGGATTGTTCCCTAATTTCATTTTGAATGTCCTCTCTAAAAGTGTGAATAGTCACCTTCTGCCTATAAGGCAAAGAGTAGTGTGTAAAGTGCAATGACACAGAGCAAACATAATTTATATTGGAACACAAAAGAAGGCATTCAAGCTGGAGACTGTGGAATTTAATTACAGAAGGTGACCTGTGAGGGTACAGCTGGTGCCACGCTTGTTGTGTATATTAAAGAAGAGTTCCAGCCCCACTCGTTTCTGTCCAATCTGCTTCTGCCCAATCTGCTTCTGCCCAATTTGCTTCTGTTTCTGATGATTGGTAGAAAATTGTGTTACTCTCTAATTTTCTTTCTGCCTTCAAATTTCAATGAAAGGTCACTCCCACAACACCCCCTGCCTGTCTTTGACACACCGTCTGGGCTTCAGGAGGTGTCATCCACAGCTGCTGTGTCCTACATGGTCCACACAATGTCCATAGAGCCAGTTTTATCCCAGTGAGAAAAGAGTTAAGCAGGCTTGGGTTGAATTCCGAACGATTTTTCGATCGAAATTGTTCATTCTGTAACCCGATGGTGCCACCAATGATTTCGAATATTGGTCGTTTTTCATGAATTTTCCAACATGCCCGATAAATGAAATGGGGAGGAACCACGAAAATCGGCCGGTGCCACTGCCCCACTAACAGAGCGAAAATCAGTCGATTATTCTTAGGTCCGATTTTCGAACGAAAAATCATTCTGAAATCGACCCATGTATGACCGGCCTTACTGCAGAGCCTACTCCGATGTGTGCATTAGTTTAGACAGGCCTGACATCTGATAAATGTCTGTCATTGTTGATTGGGCCTTACTGCCGCGATATGCTGGCTACCTATTAACCCCCCCCCCTCCCCCAGGACAGTGTAGACCAAGAATGATCATGTGACTTCTTTTTTTTTACTTTGCATTTTTAGATGTTTTTAGAAATTTTCAGATAAATGGTAAAATAAGGGAAGAAACCTGTGCAACAAGGTTGTTGCAGCAGAGCTCTGCCAGTATTTTAGTATGTTAAAAAAAAAGGGGTTCCTAATCTGAGGACCCCAATAAGAAAATTGTTTTCAAACTGGGACCTAAGAGAATTATTTATCAGAATTTCATGGCCATGGAATGTGTGGGTATTTTGTTAAAAAAGTTGCTCTTTCAATTTTAGGATTTTATTACTTCGAACTTCCCCACATAGAACACATTGTAGGCATTCTTCTCTGTTTATAGTATGTAGGCTTAGGCTGTCCATACATGGGTTGAATTTCAAATAATTTTTATGTTGAAAATTGTAATTTTTTTATTATCGTTCAAATTTCCACCATTAGTGGGGCCGCAGCAACGGACGATTTTCGTGCGGCCATCAAATTTGAGTGATCGGGAATGTTGGAAATTTTTAAAAAAATGAACAAATTTCTAAGCAATGATAGGAGAATCGTGCAAGAGAAATATAATTGAAAAAGAATTGTTAATGAACTGGAAAGAAAAAGAAGATTGCCGCCATGAAATTTCTTTTTCGTAACAACATGAGGTGAAATTGAAGGCTTGGTTGGTCGAATTTCAAAATCAATGGTGGCACCATCGGATTGCAAAACGCATTCAATTTTCGATTGTCAAATTGTTCACAATTCGACCCATGTATGGCCTACATCAGAGTCAGTTCTAGGCTTTTTGAATCCATTGGCAAAATGTAGACATGAGGCCCCACTCACACCCATAATGAGAAAAATAATTAAAGCAACAAAATTTACTGGGGAATGGGTAAGGCAACCATTGGTGGTACATGCTTATCCCCACCACTGCCAGTGATGTCATTCCTATCCCCACGACCGCCACTTATGTCATCCCTATCCCCACTGACTGCCAATCATGTCTTTCCTATCCCCACCACTGCCACTGATGTCATCCTTATCCCCACCACCGCTACTGACAATGATGTCACCCCTATCCCCACCACTGCCACTGATGTCATCTCTATCCCCCATCACCACTGCTACCGATGTCATCCCTATCTCCCCATCACTACTGCCTGAAACGGGAGAGGGGGGGGGGTTGGAGCATGTGACAGTCAGAGACAGTGGTGGTGGTGGTGGGGATGAGATCAGTGTCAGTCGATTCCCCCTCCTTCTTGCTCAGTGTGTCTCTACCTGCATCTGGCTTCCTACATGTGCCTCCAGTGATGCCTCTCCTGACCTGGGGTCTCTTTTCCTCTCCCTTTATTCTACTGGCTGTCAGCGGCTCAGCTGACTTTCTCCTCCAGTTTCCACCTCGCAGTTCCCAGCATGGCATCTGACTGGACTTAATGGGCCCAGCAATGGGCGTAGAGGATGGACGGGTGGTCTGGTATGGCAATGACAGTGAGTGCTCAGCCTCCCTCAGCCGCAGTGTACTATTTCCCAACCCGACTCAATGCCTGTAACTAGAATAGGCAGGCGGCCCCTCCCCACAGTGGCCACCCCCCCCCCCCGGCCCAGTCTGTCCCTGCATTGCGTTAGAGAAATTAGGTGGCTGCCTAATTTGCCTAATTAAAGAGCCGCCTCTGGCCTACATTAGTAAAGCTAAGAGAATCTTTGTTGAATTTTCATTCACTGGGTAATTGTCAAGGCAGTTATTTCCTCCCCACATGCTCTAGCTCCCCATATGTGTTTGTGCTGTCAATTATAGTTGGTGTGCTTTCGTTCATCAATGATATGCTGATTTCATATTTTGACACAAAAGTAAAGTCGTGACCCATTCCAGTGGAGCTTGCTACATTTTATATGGAGTATAGGGGTTGCAGCATCATGCCTCGGTGTTATGGACATTGACCCATCCCAAAGATTCCTGTGGTCCTATATTGGTCTCCACCCATATTTTAAGAAACACTTTCCTATATCATTCTTCGCATTTGTATCTGCAGCGCAACGAGACCAGAGACATTATCCACTATCAGTACCTGAACTGGCCAGATCATGGGGTTCCATCTGACCCAGGCGGAGTCCTGAGTTTCCTTGGAGAGGTCAACCGAATGCAGGAGAGCATACCAGGAGCTGGGCCTATCATTGTACACTGCAGGTAAACTCATCTTTCCATCAGTCAGTCCTCTGTCCCACTGAAATCCTGTTTTGTCACACGATCCGATCCTGATGTTACTCTACACAGCTTACCTTTGTTTTCTCATTTCTTATTTATTATACATTTCATTCACAGTGCTGGAATTGGCCGTACCGGAACCATCATCGTCATTGACATGTTGGTGGACATCATTCAAACAAAAGGTGAAATAATCTTGAGAGTTAACAGTGATTGTTTAATTGACACATTCCCTTTTAAACAGTTTTCTTAACTATTTAAACAGAGTTCTTAAAGTTTTTACTAGTATTGACTCCCAGTGGGGCATGGTCAATATGTCCCCATACGCCAGAAGTGTTTCGTAAAGTCATACAAAAAAAAAAAGAGACTCATAATACACAAGGTAGCCAGGTGGTAAATCAACATTGGCCCAGTAAGACAATATAACATTACACCAAGATGACTCAACAATAAAACAAACCAAGTAGGTCATGAAGATACCTATGTTACCAATATGTGATCATAGACATCCAAATTTGGGCCCCGTCCGCACCAGGGGACTTCATCAACAGTGCTAAGTTGTACAGTGATCCACAGCGATATTACAAGAAGAAAATAAGAGAGTAACGGAAAGGAAGAGGGGAAGGAGGAAGGATCCCAATGACTGTATAATCAGTTTACCATGTAGTCCAAAGAGTGCCTGTTTAGAGGTCAATATGCATATAATGTGGTCATGGTCCCCAAAAGTGGCTTTTTGTGTCCTGAATAATATTCGTAATTCTCTCATGGGACATAATTCAGGAGACTTTTTGCCATACTTGAAAAATGGGGATTGAGGTCTCTTTCATGATCTACCAATGGTTGGACCATCTAAAAGAGCCACTTGTGGGGATTTCGGTATTGAACAATGGCAAAAATTCTGTTCCTAAAGCTCTGAAGTCTTGGGCATTCCTACCAGATATAAAGCATTTTCCCGGCATATGACATCCTTGGAAGCAAAAAAAGAGCACAACATTAAGATAAAGCTTCGACAGATGGACGGGGATCAAATACCATCTAGACATAACCTTTATATTAGCCTCAATCAGCAATACATTTTTTGTATGCCCTTATAAGACCGGAGGAAGCTGCTATGCCAAGATTCCTCATCTTAAACAAAGTCAGCTTCCAAGTCACTCATGAAGGAACATTTCAAAGAAGATTCCAGAAAGTGCCCATAGATGGTGGAGATTCTGTCTCTCTGACCCATGCGCTGTCTGCACCATTTTTCATAAGGTGTGACCATGGGGCCTTCACCAGTGTCCTGCCATAGGAATCATAAATAATGAGAGATTTGAACGAAGCAAAACGTTTCCGATACTGACATTTTCAGGACTTAATCATTAGGACTTTAGGATGATATTTATGTATATAAAAAAAAAAAAATCTAATAAAAAATACACAGGATAATTAGAATTAGTGAGATTTGTGCTGTTGTTTTTGTGTAACCAGAACACTGAATTGATGTACAGTCACCGACAATGTTACTCCCATGTCATCTGACACATCAAGTCCATTTCTCCACTTTGATTTCAGTTGCAATAATGCATAGAATCCTGTTCCCGTTCTTTATTATCCTTAGATCTTATACCCCCATCATTTGGTTCCCATAACCCTGAGGGGTATGACTACCCGGTTAAGAACCCTTGGTTCAACACTTTGATGATTTTCACTTAGATCAGCTTCCTTCAACACTCATCTGTTGACCATGGCAGCAATTCACTAGCTCCACTGGCCTTCATTTCAGACCAACATCTCAGTTGGGTTGTTTAATTTCCACACAGCAGCTATGTTCAATGTTCAAAGTTGCATGGCCTAAAGAATGCTTTAAAATTACTTACAGATGTGGGCGTGGCCTGGTGTAGCATGGAGTAGGAAGCACGAGGCAGAAGCTCTGCTACCAGATTCATCCTGTGCACCTGCCTGATACGATCTAAATGTGTTTAACCTCAATAAGGTGCCAGGTTACACTCTTTAATACACTGGAACTAGTGACAAATATGGGCACCTAAATGTCCTCCTGAGATAAGAGTCCATCTCCTAAGTTCCACCGGGTGAAGAAAAATGGTGTCACAGCTGCCTAAGATGAGAATCCCTCATTACCTGCTCCTGAATCCATGGCTACTGAAACATTAGAAGTGCCTGAATCTATATTATTTCTTCTATAGCGGTCTTCCCCACTTGTCAACAGAAGTTCAGCATCTACATGCCAAATGTTTGGAGGTCAAGTGACAATTACAAGTCTTCATCCTAAAATGACACACAGATGCAGTGACTCTACATCTCTGTGTTCTCTAGTTCCACTGTTATCACATAGAGTGGAACACTTTAAAGGGTGGATGTGCCTTTCCTCTGATGGAGACACAGATCTATGGAAAGTCTCTGATGGGGACACAGATGTATGGGGGACTTTTATCGGGACACAGATGTATGGGGAAACTCTGATGGAGACACAGATGTATGGGGAATCTCTAATGGGGACACAGATATATGGGGAGACTTTGATGGGGACACAGGTGTATGGGTAGCCTTTGATGGGGGCACAAATGGGCAGGGAGTCTCTGATGGGGACACAGATGTATGGGCAGGTTCAGATGGGGACATAGATGTTTGGGGGGGCTCTGATGGGCACACAGATGTATGGGGAGTCTCAGATGGGGACACAAATAGGCAGGAACAATCTGATGGAGACACAGATGTTTGGGGAGACTCTGATGGAGACACAGGTATATGGGGAGACTCTGATGGAGACACAGGTATATGGGGAGACTCTGATGGGGACACAGGTATATGGGGAGACTCTGATGGGGACACAGATATATGGGGAGACTCTTATGGGGACACAGATGTATGGGGAGCCTCTTATGGGAACACAGATGTATGGGAAAACTCTGATGGAGACACAGATATATGGGGAGACTCTGATGGGGACACAGATGTATGGGGAGACTCTAATGGGGACACAGATGTATGGGGAGACTCTAATGGGGACACAGATGTATAGGGAGCCTCTGATGGGGACACAAATAGGCAGGGAGACTCTGCTGGGGACACAGATGTATGGTTAGTCTCTGATGGAGACACAGATGTATGGGGATAAAAACCATATAAATGCTGCGCTACATTCAAACTAATTTAGGTGAATGTGGAATTCAATATCTCAAATTAAAATAATAACAATAATAATAAATATAGATGTGCTTAGTGATAAAAAATGATGGCAAAACACAAACTTGAATCCATACGCATGTGCATAAAAAAATGCACATACATATATTACATCACACGTGCAAAAATGTGAAGTGAAATGATATCTAAATAATAAACGCAAACTCAAAGTCCAATAATGGAATATTAAAGGTGAAAAAAAAAAGTCCAATAATGGAATATTAAAGGTGAAAAAACTGTAAACTGTGTTTCCAATAATACTGTAAAGTGACCACAGGTGAAACAAATCGTGCAGATATCTGAGTGTAGATAGAGCTTGTGAATCCAACCACCTTCTGGATTAGCCTCTCACCTCATCACTTTGACCCTTGCGGGTCAAAGAGCAGTAATGGATCCCTCTCACAGATCCTCCAGGCACCAAAGCACTCCAAAACCACTTCTCAGGATATAATATTCCCACTCAGCTTGATCCAGGTGAAGATGCTTTTCCCTGTAATACAGTGCTTCTCAATTATTTTCTTAAGCCAACAAAACAGGAAGTGACGGCATCACGGAGCTGTCATGGTGGTAGCAGTTTATGCCAGAAGCCCACATGAGCTCAGCTCTGACATACAATGTAAGCGGCTCTCTTCTGTCTAATCGTGTGTGCTATCTGAGGTCACCTGGGCTCCTGGCTGTTGACTGCCGCGCAGTGGAACGGTGCTGGATAGTGCTGGTGCTGGCTGGTGTCAGAGCTGAGCTCATGTGGGCTTCTGGCATAAACTGCTACCACCATGACAGCTCCGTGATGCCGTCACTTCCTGTTTTGTTGGCTTAAGAAAATAATTGAGAAGCACTGTATTACAGGGAAAAGCATCTTCACCTGGATCAAGCTGAGTGGGAATATTATATCCTGAGAAGTGGTTTTGGAGTGCTTTGGTGCCTGGAGGATCTGTGAGAGGGATCCATTACTGCTCTTTGACCCGCAAGGGTCGAAGTGATGAGGTGAGAGGCTAATCCAGAAGGTGGTTGGATTCACAAGCTCTATCTACACTCAGATATCTGCACGATTTGTTTCACCTGTGGTCACTTTACAGTATTATTGGAAACACAGTTTACAGTTTTTTCACCTTTAATATTCCATTATTGGACTTTTTTTTTCACCTTTAATATTCCATTATTGGACTTTGAGTTTGCGTTTATTATTTAGATATCATTTCACTTCACATTTTTGCACGTGTGATGTAATATATGTATGTGCATTTTTTTATGCACATGCGTATGGATTCAAGTTTGTGTTTTGCCATCATTTTTTATCACTAAGCACATCTATATTTATTATTATTGTTATTATTTTAATTTGAGATATTGAATTCCACATTCACCTAAATTAGTTTGAATGTAGCGCAGCATTTATATGGTTTATATTCACTTGATCACTGGTATATGATTTAATGTTAGCAGCTGTTTGGGGTTCATTTATTATTTTAGTTTGTCTAAACACACATTTGGAGCGCAGGAGGGTCACACCATTATTAGATGTATGGGGAGACTCTGATGGGGACACAGATGGATGGGGACACAAATGGGCAGGGATAATCTGATGGGGACATAGATACGGTGCTTTGAAAAAGTATTCATACCCCTTGAAATTTTCCACATTTTGTCACGTTACAACCAAAAACGTCAATGTATTTTATTGAGATTTTTTGTGATAGACCAACACAAAGTGGCACATAATTGTGAAGTGGAAGGAAAATGAAAAATGGTTTTCAACATTTTTTACAAATAAATATCTGAAAAGTGTGGTGTGCATTTGTATTCAGCCCCCATTACTCTGATACCCATAACTAAAATCTAGTGGAACTAATTGCCTTCAGAAGTCACCTAATTAGTAAATAGAGTCCACCTGTGTGTCATGTCATCTCAGTATAAATACAGCTGTTCTGTGAAGCCCTCAGAGGTTTGTTAGAGAATATCAGTGAACAAAGAGCATCATGAAGGCTAAGCAACATTAGGAGTGGCCAAATCAATAGTTTGGTTCATTCTGAGGAAAGAAGAAAACACTTGTGAGCTCAGCAACATAAAAAGGCATGGACGTCCACGGAAGACAACAGTGGTGAATGATCGCAGGATCCTCTCTATGGTAAAGAAAAAACCCATTCACAACATCCAGACAAGTGAAGGGCACTCTCCAGGAGGTGGGTGTATCATTGTCAAAGTCTACAATCAAGAGAATACTTTAGGAGAGCAAATACAGAGGGTTCACCACAAGGTGCAAATACAGAGGGTTCACCACAAGGTGCAAATACAGTGGGTTCACCACAAGGTGCAAATACAGAGGGTTCACCGCAAGGTGCAAACCATTCATAAACCTGAAGAATAGAAAAGCCAGATTAGACTTTGCCAAAAAAACACCTAAAGAAGCCAGACCAGTTCTGGAAAAGTATTCTTTGGATGGATGAAACTAAGATGAATCTGTACCAGAATGACGGGAAGAAGAAAGTGTGGAGAAGATTTGGAACAGCTCATGATCCAAAGCACACAACGTCATCTGTAAAACATGGTGGAGGCAGTGTGATGGCATGGGCATGCATGGCTTCCAGTGGCACTGGGTCATTGGTGTTTAATGATGATGTGACAGAAGACAGATGAATTCCGCAGTGTTTACAGATCTACTGTCAGCCCAGATTCAGCAAAATGCAGCAAAGGTGATTGGACGGCGCTTCATAGTACAGATGGACAATGATCCAAAACACACTGCAAAAGCAACCCAGAAGCTTTTGAAGGAAAAGAAGTGGAATATTCACCAATTGCTGAGTTAATCACCTGATCTCAACCCAACTGAGCATGCATTTCACTTGCTGAAGGCAAAACTAAAGGCAGAAAGATCCACAAAGAACAACTGAAGGCAGCTGCAGTTAGAGCCTGGCAAAGCATCAGAAAGGAGGAAACCCTGTCTTTGGTCATGTCCATGGGTTCCAGACTTCAGGCAAAGCATCAGAAAGGAGGAAACCCAGTCTTTGGTCATGTCCATGGGTTCCAGACTTCAGGCAGTCATTGCCAGTAAAGGATTCTCAACAAAATATTGAAATTGAACATTTTATTTATGATTATATTCATTTGTCCAATTACATTTGAGCCCCTGAAAATGAAGGGACTGTTTATACAAATGGTTGCAGTTCCTAAAATGTGTACTCGATACTTATGTTCGACCCTTTGAATTGAAGCTAAAAGTCTGCACTTCAAATTCATTTGGATTGTTTTGTTTTAATTTATTCTGCTTGAATACAGAACCAAAAGTAGGAAAATTGTGCCTGTGTCCAAATATACTGTATATGGACCTAACTGTATATGACCAGGCAAACATTTGCACAATGCATTACAGCACATGTCCAGCCTAATATCAAGTACTAGAATCTATGTTGTTTGCTGTCTTCAGTGGCCACACAGTCCACGGATACTAGGTGTGCCACTCTTTGAGACGGAATCTGTGTCTTATATCTCAGTTTACCTATTAAACATATTGCTTCCATAATGTAGTTTACTGCTGGTGTTTACTTGCACATGACTCCCCCCTTGGTCATCCCAGACTGACGCTGTGTCTTTTCCAGGTCTGGACTGTGATATAGATGTGCAGAAATCCATTCAGATGGTACGATCCCAGCGCTCAGGAATGGTCCAGACAGAGGCTCAGTATAGGTTCATCTATTCCGCTATTGCACATTACATCGACTCGGCAAAGCACAAACTGCAAGCGTTCGAGGTACCAGCACCTTGTGTTTCTGGTAGCAATAAAAAGAGTTTTGGTGTTGTGGGGTCTGCTGTCCAGGGTGAACTGATGTCCCACATCAGAAACCTGAGCCCTTCCTGAGTTTTCAGAGTCTGTCTCCACCAAAGATGCTGACTACTCAGCAATTTCCACATCTCCACAATGTACTCTCGCCTGTTTCCATATTCCCACAATGTACTGTCACCAGTGTCCACATCTCCACAATGTACTCTCGCCTGTTTCCATATTCCCACAATGTACACTCACCAGTGTCCACATCCCCATAATGTACTGTCACCAGTGTCCACATCCCTACTATGTACTCTCACCAGTGTCCACATCCCTACAATGTACTCTCACCTGTATCCATATTCTCAATGTACTCTCACCAGTGTCCACATCCCCACAATGTACTCTCACCAGTGTCCACATCCCCACAATGTACTCTTGCCAGTGTCCACATCCCCACAATGTACTGTCACCAGTGTCCACATCCCCACAATGTACTCTCACCAGTGTCCACATCCCCACAATGTACTCTCACCAGTGTCCACATCCCCACAATGTACTGTCGCCAGTGTCCACATCCCCACAATGTACTCTCGCAAGTGGCCGCATCCCCACAATGTACTGTCACCAGTGTCCACATCCCCACAATGTACTCTTACCAGTGTCCACATCCCCACAATGTACTCTTACCAGTGTCCACATCCCCACAATGTACTCTTACCAGTGTCCGTTTCCACATCCCCACAATGTACTCTCGCCAGTGTCCACATCCCCACAATGTACTGTCACCAGTGTCCACATCCCCACAATGTACTCTCACCAGTGTCCACATCCCCACAATGTACTGTCACCAGTGTCCACATCCCCACAATGTACTCTTACCAGTGTCCACATCCCCACAATGTACTGTCACCAGTGTCCACATCCCCTCACTGTACCCTATACTGGAAAACTAAATATCTTAAGATGTCTTTTCTCTTTGATTTTATAGATTATATTCAATTTAGATCCAGGTTGTTTTACTGCAAAATGTGGAAAGTTCAGAGGGGGGTGGATATTTATGTAAAACCTATATATAAAAAGTGTGTGTGTGTATATTTATATATATATATATATGTATATATAATATATATATATATATATATATAATATATACATACAGGAACGTCTCACCCAGTGCTCCCTCACCACACCTTCCTCCTCTGAAGTCAGCACTGAGAGACTGGTGTCGGCAACCTGGGGGAATGTTCGTATCATTACCCCAGTCCTGTGACATTGTTCAGGTCTTTTTATTGGCTGCTAGACCCAAACACTGTCAAATGGGAGTTGGCTTACTTCCCTACACCTGGAAGTGCAGGAGAGCGCAGAAAGTGCAAAGTCTGGAGGAGGACCAGAGGAGGGCTGGAGTCAGCTGTTGGAGTCAGCTGAATGCTGAGGCCAGGGTGTGTTTGAAACTGCACAAAGAGACATAGGATCTGTAAAAATAAGTTCTGTCCTCCTCTCTGCTGCCAACTGCTGAGACAGGGAAGGGGGAGCAGAGCTGAGCCTCTCTGCAGTTGTACAGAGAAGCACAGGATCTGACGGAGTCCGTCCTCCTCTCTGCTGCCGACTGCTGAAACAAGGTGGAGGCAGAGACGAGGAGCGTGCTGCAGGAGATGTGCAAGGGCCACATGAAATGGCCTTGTGGGCTGGATTCCACCCGCAGGCCTTGCGTTTGACACACATGCACTACACAGTATGAGCAAATGTTTGTGGACACCTGACCATCATACCTATAGAAGTTTGTAGGACATCCCATTTTGAAACTTTGGCCATCATTTTAAAATTTGCATTCCCTCTGTTTTTGGCTATAGCAGTTCCCCTATGAAGGGTAGCCTTTCTAAATTTGTGCCTATTCAACCAAAAAAGCATTTGTGAGGTCAAGTACTGATGTTGGATAAGAATCAGTATTCCAAATGATCCCAAAGGTGTTCAGTAGGATTGAAGTGAGGGCTTTGTGAGTTCCTCCACACCAAACTCATGAAACTCATGTCTTTATGGAGTTGGTGCACAGTCACATGGAACAGAGAAGGGTCTTGCCCAAACAGAGTTGGAAGCATTGTCAAAAATGTCTTTGTATGCTGTCGCATTATCACATTTGGCCATGTAGTAGACGAAATGGTTGGTGAACACAAATATCAGGCTATATAATGTAAAACTTGGCTTGGAAAAATTGGATGATACGGTTGGTTATCCTTTTTCTTGCAGAAAACAAAGGCTGCAGAGTCAGAATACGGGAACCTTGCGCCCGCCATGACGAAGATGAAAGTGTCACGAAGCCCATCAAAGTAATATTCCCTGTGTGCCTAATCCAGTATTGAGTGTATTTCTTCTCTACACCGAATGTATATGCACTCATATCTGCTTATCCTATATATTGCAGGCCTAAAGATGAGGGAACCCTCTATGAGAATTTAAATGCCAAGAAAGAAAAAAAAGAAAAAGTCAACAAGAAAACATCCTCAGAGCGAGAAAAACCCCGAACTTCCGTAAAGAAAAAGTAACTCAGAGGTGAGCAATGCAAGGGCTCCTGATGTGTGCTCAGCATTTAATTCCAGGCAAACACACTCCTATGGCCCAGATTCAGTCGGCAGCAGGCTGATGTCACAGAGCCAATCCAGGCTCTGCAAGGGACCCGACTTTAATGTCAGGATCAATCAAAGCCTCCCAGCGTGCCTATAAGAGCCGGCCCCAGCCGCTCCCCGCCCCCTCCTCAGCCTGGTGCTCCAGGGAGTGCTGGAGGGGCAGAGAGTTGGTGACTGTTCAGAACACAGCAGGCTGGCTGCTCAACATGAGATCCAGAAAACAAGTGGAGATGAATGGAGTAGCTGTCTACTTCAGTGATTTCCAGCTTCCAGGGGCATTGGCCAGGTATGATATATACATCGTTACATTGGTCCATGCCTGGAATTTCTCTTTAGGGCCAACTCAAGCTCCAGATCAACTTTACTCCAAGTTGGGGCAGACGTCAGTTGGGGACAGCTGATGACTGCAGTCTGGAAGTGTTTTCATTATTTGCACTGTTATAACCTAATAAGCTCTTTATAAATTCCAACCTCATTGAAAATTTTGGGTGGTGTGGGTCAGGTCTTGATCCTGTCAGGTTGGGTACTATCCATGACCCTGACTCAGAGTTCTTCCCCCACATCCAACATGGTTGCACCACATCTTGGATCTTTCTGCCTCGGTCCTGGACAACACAAGAATGGAGAAGAAAGAATTAAACCTTGTCCCAGTACACTGAAAATGCAGATTCTTTTGTGGGGATTTCTCTTTTGATCTAAGTTTAAAATGCTTTCCTCCTTTTTTCCCCAGCAGATCTCCAGCGTGCCACCAGTTCCTGGGCGTAACCAGTACAGTATTCCTGCAGCTTGAACCATGCACTGTTCACACTTGTGCTCCTCCCCGAATGTACCTTCTGTTCAACCTTTTGCTGCCTCCCCTCTTTACCTTTGTCACCTCCCAACCTGACCTGGAAAATGTTTACTTGAAACGATGATATGAAAGAGATAATTTAATAAAGTGTTGCGCACAGATGTACGCCTGGTTTGGTCTTTAATGATCACCTGCAGCCTTCTTGCAACCACTTTCTGTCTCCATGCACTCCAGTGATGGCTGCATGGCATTTCTCAGGGTAGGTTTCCTGATGGTGACAGCAGTGGACCATGTCTGAGTAATGGGTATTGAAGCAGTCGCCATTATTAGGAATGTGACCAAAACAAGGACCTTCAACTGGCAGAAGCGTTCTCACCCTGTTATAGTCATTTTAGTTGCCCATATTTAAAGGAACCTTCATGGCAGAATCATCAGTTATAAAATAACATTAGTTTATTTACAGCTGATATGAATTTTATAAGAATAGGTTTGTCTACTCTTAAAAATGATTTAATGTGCATATTAAGTATTTTAAGGTACAGGCATCATATATTACAATTTCAGGGTTTCATTGTTTAACAGCATTGCAATGGTAATATTCTGATCCCTGCAAAGTCCCATGTGGTTGTTTTCTTTTTGTTATAGTAGGGATAAGAGTTTGGCAGCCATACTTGAAGTGGAGTTCTACCCAATAATGGAAGCTCCACTTTTTGTGCCTTCCTCCACTGCCACATTTGGCACCTTTTGGGATGGAGGGGGGAGCAGGTACCTGGTTTTGCCGTGGCTAGATGTCCCAAAGCACCATACACTCTTTTACACCATCTTTGCTAGCCACCCTTAGAGCTAGAAAGCCAGGTCTTAGGTGGAACCCAGGAGACAAATTTTTTGCCTCCCTTCTTTAAAAATCCAATCCTGGATCAGATCTTCACAATTCCAGCCCCTTAATGTTAGGATAAATATGGAGTGAAAACCATTGCAGACATCACCGCAAAACCAAACTCTAATACCCTATAGAACCGTCCAAGATTGGTATTTTATTTTCAATACCTAGAGGGTCCCAGCAGAAGCCAGATCCACCAGAGCCCCATATTGCTCTGTAAGACTTCATTTGAACAGTTTCTTCACTCCAGCCCCCTATGAAACCAGTCTCTTCAATCTACAAATATGCTCTTTATGCTCCTATACAGAGCTTCATATACATATACAAAAAATGGCAATTAGACATCCTAGACTTGGATGATCGGGCTAGACACCTAGAACATGCCGTTTTGGGCCCCATGCACACAGGTAAAAAAATAATAGCTGCTTTACATTAACCCAAAACATCTAGGAGCTGATTTGCTAAAACTGGAGAGTGCAAAATCTGGTGCAGCTGTAATCACAAGACACAATCCAGGACTTTAACCACTTGTCTACCAGGCACTGTCACCCCCTTCCTGCCTGAAACCTACCTGCACTGCCCAGGCCAATTTTCAGCTCTGTCACACTTTGAATGACAATTGCACGGTCATGCAACACTGTACACATATTTTTATCATTTTTTTGGTAGTACTGGTAGGTACTGTGGCATTGATGGGCACTGACAAGGGGCATTGATGGGGCTATACTGATCAATGCCCTGATGATCAGTGTAGATGTCCCCTCTGAGGAATGCCGCTAATGCAGGCCATACATGGCTCGAATTCCAAACGTTTTTTCGTCTGAAAATCGGAAATGTTCACTCGGTAATCCAATGGTGCCATCACTGATTTTGAATATCGGCCCACCAAGTCATAAAGTTCACCCCATATAACACCCGAAACTTCTTTCCCTTCCAGGTCACGGCTCATGCGCATATTCTTTATGGAAAAACAATCGTACGAATTGACCATCGAGTCGAAAATCGGTTGTTTTTCCACGATTTTCTAACATGCCCGATCACCGAACAGGGGAGGAACCACAAAAATCAGCCGGTGCCATTGACCCACTAACAAAGCGAAATTCGGCGATTATTCTTAGGTCCGGATGCCCTTCCAGATGACGATTTTCAACCCATGTATGGCCGGCCTTATCCGCTCTCCTCTCCTCACGAGCTCAGCGTGAGGAGAAGACTGCAGATAACCGGCATATCCTTATTAACATGCGATCAGCTGTGATTGGACACAGCTGATCACATGACATGCCAAAGTCATCGGCTCTTTCCGCTGATCGGTGATCCGCTGTGTCCCAGGGAGTGGGAGGATGTCAGAACCGCCACACTCCCGTCATTCCCTTATATGGCGGGCTGGAGGCAGTTACAGAAATCTACTGAGCTGGCCAAAACCAACTCTTGAGGGAGTCTAGCAATTTTTTTCTTTGCGCACTCTTCTGTGATTGGCTGTTACAGTGGTCACATGATCTGAAGCCCATCCTGACAGCTCCCAAGACGAAGCACTCAGTACAGAAACCTAAGCCGCCATGAACATATACAGTTGTGTTCAAAATAATAGCAGTCAGACATCACTAACCGGATCAATCACTGTTTTTGGTCGAAATTATATTTCTACATGGAAATAATTTCCTAGCAGGTGTTGTAGAGTCATAGAAATCCAACAGACCCAACAGTCATGACATGCATGCTGCTGATTCTGTGTCATTGAATCACTCATTGAAAGGGGCATGTTCAAAATAATAGCAGTGTGGAGTTCTATTAGTGAGGTCAATCATTCTTTGAAAAAAGGTGGCAATTATTGCCCTTATTTAAGGAAGGAAGGCAGCAAATGTTGTACATGCTGGTTACAGTGCATTTCTCTCTGAAATTCTGAGGAAAATGGGTCGTTCCAGACATTGTTCAGAAGAACAGCGTACCTTGATTAAAAAGTTGATTGGAGGGGGGAAAACATATAAAAAAAGTGCAGAAAATGATCGGCTGCTCAGCTAAAATGATCGCAAATGCTTTAAAATGGCAACCAAAACCTGAAAAAAAGTGGAAGAAAGCGAAAAACTACCATTGGAATGGATAGAATAGCCAAAATGGCGCGGACTCAGCCAACAATCAGCTCCAGGAAGATGAAAGAAGGTGTGACGTTCCCTGTGAGGACTGTTACAATTAGAAGACGCCGATGTGAAGCCAAGCTATCTGCAAGAAGTCCCCGCAAAGTCCCACTGTTGGGAAAAAGACGTGTGCTGAAGAGGTTACAATCTGCCAAAGAGCACATTGACTGGCCTAAAGAGAAATGGGGGCAACATTTTGTGTGGACTGATGAAAGTAAGATTGTTCTTTTTGGGTCTAGTGGGCGGAGACAGTTTGTCAGACGACCCCCAAACACTGAATTCAAGCCACAGTACACTGTGAAGACCGTGAAGCATGGTGGTGCAAGCATCATGATATGGGGATGTTTCTCATACTACGGTGTTGGGCCTATTTATCGCATACCAGGGATCATGGATCAGTTTGAATACACCAGAATACTTGAAGAGGTCATGCTGCCTTATGCTGAAGAGGAAATGCCCTTGAAATGGGGTTCCAACAAGACAACGACCCCAAACACACCAGTAAACGTGCAACATCTTGGTTCCAGACCAACAAGATTGACGTTATGGAGTGGCTAGCCCAAACCCCGGATCTTCATCCAATAGAAAACTTGTGGGGTGACATCAAAAATGCCGATTCTGAGGCAAAACCAAGAAATGGAGAAGAACTGTGGAATGTGGTCCAATCATCCTGGGCTGGAATACCTGATCACAGGGGCCAGAAGTTGGGGGACTCCATGCAACACAGATGTACAGCAGTTCTCAGAAACAGTGCTACTACAACCAAATATTCATGAAGTCATTCAAAGGAAAGCAAAATCTTCAAACATTTCTCAGTTTATATAGTGAATGTTTGAGTTTGTAAAGAAGAATACAAACACTGCCATTTTTTTGAACCGTCTAATATTCACTTTTCTTCCATTTTTTTTTAGAGGAACAACACAAATTTGATGTATTTTTCTTCATGTTGTGATTTGGAATAGAATGTGTCGTGTTCCCAATGCATTTGTGTGGATGGAAATAAAAGCTACTAGAAGGATTTTCAGCTTTAGTCACTTCTGCTATTATTTTGAACACAACTGTATGTGTTGTGTGTTGGGCATTAAGGCCCACCCTCCTCGCCACCACACATATGCTTGCAGAGAGGTTAAACTGATCTCCTTGCATCTAGCTGCCTCCCCCCCCCCCCCCCTTGTCTCTTTTTTAATTTCATAGTCAATAATAAAGATGATTTTACAAAAAAAATAGCCACATACCAATTCAAGGCATTTGATTTTTTTTTATATATAAACAATGAACATAACATGAATTATTGTGTCCTCCATTTTTGCCGGGGGACACAGTCCTCTTCATTCATCTACATTATTGGTAACATGGGACACGTCCAGCTCCTTCGGGAGGACAAGGCCTTCTCAGGGGGGTTACAGGTTGAAACTTGGTCATCATTTCTTTGCTTGTTTAGCCACCAGGGTATCACTGTAAGGAAGGGAAAGCGTTAGACAAGGCCAAGAACTTCAGAAGGAAGCAATTATAACAGCGACACACACTCCAAAAGGGCCATTGAGGAAAAAAAAAAAAAAATAAAACAAAAAAACTAATGAGACCTGAAGGGATCTAAATATACATGCCATTCGAGTGAATAGGGACATGCCACAATCGCAATGCACCTGTGATGTATGTGGTTGCGTCATGGCTATGGGGCTCAAACAGGCAAAATTGGGCGATTGTATTGTTTCTACCCACCCATCAAATAGCCTCTAAAAAGCAATCAAGCGCAGATCGCTTTTCAGAGAGGTGAATACGTGTAAATCTAGCCTAAGGCCTCATTTACATGTCCTCCAAGGACCAAACAATGGGTTCTTGTGGCTGAAAACACTTGTGGTTGCGGACAGCTGCATCTGGAAAGCAATGATAGGCTAACGGGTGCTGCAGTGGTCTGTGTGTATCTGTACTGTATATCCAGTGATTACCTGCAGTGAGGAACAGCGAATCCCCTACTAGACACACACAAAATCATCCGAAGGGGTAAGCACAAAAATGAATCTCGTACAACAACAATGAACGATTTTCGTTTAACCACTTCCAGTCCCGACACTTTCTCCCCCCCTTCCAGTCCCGACACTTTCTCCCCCCCTTCCAGTCCCGACACTTTCTCCCCCCCTTCCAGTCCCGACACTTTCTCCCCCCCTTCCAGTCCCGACACTTTCTCCCCCCCTTCCAGTCCCGACACTTTCTCCCCCCTTCCAGTCCCGACACTTTCTCCCCCCCTTCCAGTCCCGACACCTTCACCCCCTTCCAGTCCCGACACTTTCTCCCCCCCTTCCAGTCCCGACACTTTCTCCCCCCCTTCCAGTCCCGACACTTTCTCCCCCCCTTCCAGTCCCGACACTTTCTCCCCCCCTTCCAGTCCCGACACTTTCTCCCCCCCTTCCAGTCCCGACACTTTCTCCCCCCCTTCCAGTCCCGACACTTTCTCCCCCCCCCCCCCTTCCAGTCCCGACACTTTCTCCCCCCCTTCCAGTCCCGACACTTTCTCCCCCCCTTCCAGTCCCGACACTTTCTCCCCCCCTCCAGTCCCGACACTTTCTCCCCCCCTTCCAGTCCCGACACTTTCTCCCCCCCTTCCAGTCCCGACACTTTCTCCCCCCCTTCCAGTCCCGACACTTTCTCCCCCCCTTCCAGTCCCGACACCTTCACCCCCTTCCAGTCCCGACACCTTCACCCCCTTCCAGTCCCGACACCTTCACCCCCTTCCAGTCCCGACACCTTCACCCCCTTCCAGTCCCGACACCTTCACCCCCTTCCAGTCCCGACACCTTCACCCCCTTCCAGTCCCGACACCTTCCCCCCCTTCCAGTCCCGACACCTTCCCCCCCCAGTCCCGACACCTTCCCCCCCTTCCAGTCCCGACACCTTCACCCCCTTCCTGCCCAGGCCAATTTTAAGCTTTCAGCGCTATGAAACTTTGAATGACAATTGCGCGGTCATGCAACACTGTGCCCGTATTAATCTTTTAGCATTTTTTTTTTTTAGACAGCTAAAACTTTATTTTGGTGGTATTTATTTACCACTGGGATTATTTTTTTTTGCTATATAAATGAAAAATTCCAAACATATTAAAAAGAATTTTTATAAAATTTTGCAAATAAATAATCTTTCTTCATAAATCTTGGCCACAATGTCGAATATCTTTTTAGCAAAAAAAAAAAAAGAAAATAGCCCAAAATAGTTAAACCAAAACCAAAAATTGTCTTTTTTTTTTAATGTTACTTTTTATATTATTTATGTTTTTTTTTTTTTTTAACATACTGTCACCCTAGCAGTACAGTGTCACCATGGTGACACTGTACTACTTGTGGGGGGGGGGGGGGGGTAATGCAGATTTTTTTTTCCCTTTTTTTTTTTTTTTTTACACCGATTGCTTTTACACCCATAAAGGCTGTAAAAGCAATCATTTCTCCTTCTCCCTGGCTGCATTCTTGCAGCCATTGAGAAATACTGTGAGAGCTGTGATCGGTCACATCTTGTCACATGGTGCAAGGCTGTTGTGAATGGCCCTGTACCATGTGATCTCGGTGATCATTCACAGATTTCACACGTAGTAAGCAATGATGTCAGGAGGTGACAACTTGTTTACTATTATTCATGTGATCACTGATTGGCCAATCAGGGATCACATGAATCTGGACCTCGCACAGAAGTCCCGTAGAGCGATTGGTGTTCCACTGTGTCTGGAGGACACAGCAGGCACCAGATCACGGTGCCGCACGCTTCAACGAAGTGCTGCGCGCAGTGAATACCGTTCATCTGTAAAAAATCAAGTTACTAAGACTTCACATGCTCAGAAACAAGAGAAAGGTTTCATCACAGGAAATTGTATTTTCGTAACTCTAGTAACCTGCTCATTTTCAATATGAGACTAGCATGCAAAAAAGAAAACGGACGCTCATCCATCCATTATTCTCATATCAGGCTTTAGCTGACCTACTACACCAATCATATGTCTGGGCCCATCTCCTAAACCCTACATATGTGCCCTATAACTCATTCTTCCTTCCCCACCCAAAAAAAAACAAAAAAAACACACACACACTAGTTAGAAACTAACTTACCTTGCTCTGCAGCAATCACAAAGTCCCAGGTAACAGGGTTAAAAAAAAAAAAAAAAGAAGAAGAAAACAATAGTTAGAACAAAGTATCAGGGCACACATACAGTAGATACAGTAGTAATACATGTACACACACAGATTTTTTTTATCTCTCGCTCTATCTTAAGAATATTTTTTAAAAAAGAGTCATGCTCACGACAACTACACCCTACAGGGGACAGTGCTACGGTGCCAATCAATGCTGGCAGACACATTGTATAGCACTATAGACATTGATCCAATGTTTTTTTTGTACTGTTTTTTTTTTTTTTTTTTTTTTTAAATTGCAGGCATATTTGTTTTTATGTATATGCATCCTGACAACACCCTCCACGTATAATACACAAGGGGGGGAGGGATATGATCTCCATGTATAATACATAAGGGGGGATATGATCTCCATGTATAATACATAAGGGGGATATGATCACCATGTATAATACATAAGGGGGGATATGATCTCCATGTATAATACATAAGGGGGGGATATGATCTCCATGTATAATACATAAGGGGGATATGATCTCCATGTATAATACATAAGGGGGGGATATGATCTCCATGTATAATACATAAGGGGGATATGATCTCCATGTATAATATATAAGGGGGATATGATCTCCATGTATAATACATAAGGGGGGATATGATCACCATGTATAATATATAAGGGGGATATGATCTCCATGTATAATACATAAGGGGGATATGATCTCCATGTATAATACATAAGGGGGATATGATCTCCATGTATAATACATAAGGGGGATATGATCTCCATGTATAATACATAAGGGGGATATGATCTCCATGTATAATACATAAGGGGGATATGATCTCCATGTATAATACATAAGGGGGGAGGGATATGATCTCCATGTATAATACATAAGGGGGGGGGATATGATCACCATGTATAATACATAAGGGGGGAGGGATATGATCTCCATGTATAATACATAAGGGGGGATACGATCTCCATGTATAATACATAAGGGGGGATACGATCTCCATGTATAATACATAAGGGGGATACAATCTCCATGTATAATACATAAGGGGGGATACAATCTCCATGTATAATACATAAGGGGGGATACAATCTCCATGTATAATACATAAGGGGGGATACAATCTCCATGTATAATACATAAGGGGGGATACAATCTCCATGTATAATACATAAGGGGGGATACAATCTCCATGTATAATACATAAGGGGGGATACAATCTCCATGTATAATACATAAGGGGGGATACAATCTCCATGTATAATACATAAGGGGGGATACAATCTCCATGTATAATACATAAGGGGGGATACGATCTCCATGTATAATACATAAGGGGGGATACGATCTCCATGTATAATACATAAGGGGGGATACGATCTCCATGTATAATACATAAGGGGGGATACGATCTCCATGTATAATACATAAGGGGGGGATATGATCTCCATGTATAATACATAAGGGGGGGGGGTATGATCTCCATGTATAATACATAAGGGGGATATGATCTCCATGTATAATACATAAGGGGGATATGATCTCCATGTATAATACATAAGGGGGGATATGATCTCCATGTATAATACATAAGGGGGGGGGTATGATCTCCATGTATAATACATAAGGGGGATATGATCTCCATGTATAATACATAAGGGGGGGGTATGATCTCCATGTATAATACATAAGGGGGGATATGATCTCCATGTATAATACATAAGGGGGGATATGATCTCCATGTATAATACATAAGGGGGATATGATCACCATGTATAATACATAAGGGGGGGATATGATCTCCATGTATAATACATAAGGGGGGGATATGATCTCCATGTATAATACATAAGGGGGGGGATATGATCTCCATGTATAATACATAAGGGGGATATGATCTCCATGTATAATACATAAGGGGGGATATGATCTCCATGTATAATACATAAGGGGGGATATGATCACCATGTATAATACATAAGGGGGATATGATCTCCATGTATAATACATAAGGGGGGGATATGATCTCCATGTATAAATACATAAGGGGGGGGATATGATCTCCATGTATAATACATAAGGGGGATATGATCTCCATGTATAATACATAAGGGGGGATATGATCACCATGTATAATACATAAGGGGGGATATGATCACCATGTATAATACATAAGGGGGGATATGATCTCCATGTATAATACATAAGGGGGGATATGATCTCCATGTATAATACATAAGGGGGGATATGATCTCCATGTATAATACATAAGGGGGGATATGATCTCCATGTATAATACATAAGGGGGGATATGATCTCCATGTAAAATACATAAGGGGGGAGGGATATGATCTCCATGTATAATACATAAGGGGGGAGATATGATCTCCATGTCTCCAAGCAGCTTGCTATGGGGGCATTCAGTGGAGGGGGACGCTGTCGGGGGGACCAGAGAAGAGAAGGATTGGGACTGCTCTGTGTAAAACCATTACAAAGCAGGCAAGTATAACATGTTTGTGAATATCAAGGAAAAAAAAAAAAAAAAAAGGGACATTTAGAATCGCTTTTAACTTCTCATGAGCTAACTGGCCGGCCAATTTCCTCAACCAGACAAACATATCTGTTATACAGTCAGGTCCATAAATATTGGGACATGGACACAATTCTAATGGTTTTGGCTCTATACACCACACAATGGATTTGAAATGAAACAAGATGTGCTTTAACTGCAGACTGTCAGCTGTCAGTAATTCCTACACCTTTCACCTGATTTGGATGTAAATACCCTCAAATTAAAGCTGACAGTCTGCAGTTAAAGCACATCTTGTTCGTTTCATTTCAAATCCATTGTGGTGGTGTATAGAGCCAAAACCGTTAGAATTGTGTCCATGTCCCAATATTTATGGACCTGACTGTATGTCTAGATCAGGGTTTCTCCACCAGGGTTCCATGAAACTCTAGACGTTGCTAGGGGTTCTTTGCGCATTGAGCAATCTCTGCCTCTCAAATAAGTTCCCACTGACACCAATCATTTTTTTTTTTAATCCATCTGTAAGGGAGTAATTCTTCCCAATGACCACAAGTGTAGGAAACATTCTTCCCACTGACCATCATACTAATGTATCATCAGTTGTAGATATAGTCATTTTTAGCCGGGGCTCCCTGAGACCGGAAACATATTTCAAGGGTTCCCCTGTGTTGAAAAGGTTGAGAAAGGCTGATCTAGAGGTCTCCAATCATTTGTAACATAACATGGCAGGTTGTATCATTAAATGACAACAGATAATTTAACAACCTGGCATGTTAGAGGATTATGTATGATTGTACAAATGTGTCATTTATTGAATGACAACGAAGCTGTATGTGTAACGATGGAAGGGGACGGTATGCTGCAATATACAAACAACGGTCTTGTTGGTCTTTTTGTTCACATCCCGGGCTTATATGGGGCTCTGTATTGCCAGCATCCCTGTAAAAGGACGACCTGACAGCACCTCTATCAGTCCCCTGATAGAGCCTCCCCAGAGTGCGGAGTCTAAGTACCGGAGCACTTGTTCACCAGGGCCCCAGATGGTGGGGATGGACTTGGAGCGCTCCGGGACCCAGGTCGCAGCTACCAGGTATCTCTACCAGAGGTAGAGGAGTCTGCCAGAGGCTCCTGTGGGTTAAGAGTCTGATGTGAGGGAGCCCGGGGATCCCTGAGGGATGGATGGATGAGCAAGATCAAACAGGCCGTGTCGGTAACTAGCGGGTCGGTGCGGTACAAGACGATAGGCAAAGGATAGTCGGGTCACATGCAGGGTCAATATCAGAAGATCAGATCTATAAGGGAGCATCCAGGAGCAGAGTCAGGCAAGCCAAGGGGTCAGGACAGGAGAAGGCAACAAGGTCAGACAATCCAGATCAGAGTACTCTCACAACACAGGCAACAGGATACGCAAAGACCATTCGGCAACAAGTGTCTATTCAGGGCTGGTTTAAGTAGCCCGCCCTGCACCTGGCAGGGGCAGCCTAGGTCCTAGTGCCTGCCCAGTACGGTCATAGACGACGGGTGCACCTGGGTCCTAGTGCCCTGCTGCCTGCATGTCTTGACAGACACCTACGCATGTGTAGACCCATGCGTCGCGATGGTCCCTGACAATCCCTATTAATACATGTACACACTGGAAACCTCCCACGGAACGTTCAGTGACGTAAAACAATATGCATGAAAAGATTTATGACATTGAATTTGATGCTATAACACAATGAAACCAAGTTACATATTTATTGTTATATAGAATCAAATTCAATGCAATAAATAGTGGTGCACTGAAATGAAAATTCTGGTGCCAAAACCGAAAATTCAAAATGCACTCGGCCGAAAACTGAAATGCGCAGTTTTTAAAAATGAATGTATATTTTTTGGAAAAAAATACACTTTGATAAAAAAAAAAAAACACAATATATACCCCAATTTTTTTGTAAAATATGAAAAAGGATGTTATGGCGAGTAAATAGATACCCAACGCTTAAAATTGCGCACACTCGTGGAATAGCGCGAAACTGCGGTACTTAAAAATCTCCATGGGTGATGCTTTAAAAAATGTCTACAGGTTATCAGTGTAAAGACTATTGCTCTTGCTCCGATGTTCGTGGCGATACCTCACGTGTGTGCTTTGAACACCATTTACATATGTGGGCGTGGTCTACGTTCACCACTACGTGCAAGCAACGGGGGGGGGGGGGGGGGGGGATGGGTGCACTTTACACCTTTTTTTTTCTACATTTAATTTTTTTTTTTGCACTGTCCCTTTAAAAAAAAAAAAAATGTAATCGCTTTTACTCCTATCACAAGGAATGCATGAATCCCTTGTGATAGAAATAATTAGCAACAGGTCCTCTTTATGGAGACATCAGGGGTCAATAAGACCCCACATCTCTCCTCTACAACGTAAAGCATTGGCTCAAAAAAAAAAAAAAAAAAAACAAAAACAAAAAAAAAAAAAAACAAAACAACACAGCATTGATCTAGTGCTTTAAAAAAAAAAAAAAAAGAAAAAATAGCCGGAATGGGAAGTGGCATCGTTCCAAGGTCCTCCAAGGGCATAGAGATGAGTGGCGGCCATCTTTCCCTCACCCATCTCTATCCCCAGCACCGGGATCGATGGTTTCTCTCGGGTGAGGCTGAGAACTACTGAGGTGGCGGCGAGGGGTGGGGTTTTTATATTTAGAGATCTAACCAGCTCTGCCTATAAAATACATATTTACACCCCGTTGCCTCTTTAGGCTGCATTCACACTAGAGGACACAAATCTGAAAACGTTTAAGTTATCCCCAGGACAGAACTCTTCTGATGGTAACGCCGGTTCCTGGAAATGTCTAACAGGGGAAATCCCCTCACTTTGGGAAATTTCCTCTAACTTCCTGTCTTATCTCTGAGACGGGAAGTGAAGGGAAATTTTCTCACTAGTACACAAACTGGCAGGGAATTTAATCTTTTACTACTCTCTCCAAAACAAAAAGCTCTACATACAAGGCTAGCTCAAATAAAACTTTATTTACACACAGTTCTGCACACAGAGCGGACATCTAATTGGCTATGGTTGTGCTCACCTGGTGAAGGTCACATCCTGAAGATTGAGGACTAGATTGTCAGCATTCAGGTACACCCGGTTCTGGGAGGAAGCGATCTGAAAACAAACACAAAGCGTCATTGTGCTGGAAATCATGGTGGGAACAGCTGGATAGGCTGCGATGCGACTCAGGTGGAGGTACAATAAATTCAGAGAAGGTTCTACAGCAATGCCTAAAAGCTGGAGACTGCAGGCTGGTGAAGGTGGAGAAGGTGGCAGCGTGGTCTCCAAAGCTGGCAGGAGAACAAACGCAACTTGGCAATTTCGGCTATAACATAGAAGTGATTGGGTGGAGCAACATGGAAGTCTACAAACACAAAAATTGGTGGTTATGGAAGCCTCCAGCCAGGGGCGGACTGACCATTTGGAAACTTGGCACTGCCCGAGGGCCCAGGGTCAGTAGGGGGCCCCACGAGATGCCCCCGGTACCTTTTTCATAGGCTTTTTTTGAGTTTGGGCAAGGACACAGGGGCTCCATGATCCCCTATTGCCCAGGGGGCCCCATGAGTTGTCAGTCCGCCCCTGCCTCCAGCTGCAGTATGAACGCAGGCACTAAAACTTAAAAAAAAAAAAAAAATGAAAAGTATATATTACTACTATAAAAAGACTACTGCTCTCAGCCTCTTCTAGATTCCTTTTTTTTGCTGCTGCGATGTGACTTCCTGTTAGAGGGTGGCTACATTCGTTCCCCATGATCCCACTGTCTGTAGGGACATAGCCACCCTCTCTTGCTCACTCCCCAGATGGACTATAGGATGTGTATTGTCCATAGAGCAGTAGATGACCCAAGAAACATGCATTGCTCATTCCAAACAAATGGAAGTTGAGGGAAAAGGAGAGGTTCAGGAGCTCACGGAGAACATTACAAAGAGGCAGAAAAAAAACACAGTAAAAATCTTTTACAGGGCCACCAAGTATTGGATGTGTATGGATGATATGGGGGGGGGGGGGGACAAGAATATACTTTAGTGTCAATTTAAATCAGATTGGTAGCTGCTAATCAGTTTTTCCTTTTTTTCAGTTTGAGTAAAATCACCCAAATACCAGAGGTGAATGGAACATGGGGGGAGATTTAGGCTGGCCATACACTAAACAATTTTCTGCTCAATTTCCTTTAGATTTGCCTTCAACTATGTAGTGCGAGGGCCGGCCTAATTGGATACAATTGAAAGTGTTGTTTTAGGTCTGACCTCCTATTACATGGTGTTTGGTAAATCTAAAGCAAAATTCTCAAGAAAATTGTATAATGTATGTCCAGCCTTACTCAAACTGAACCATTCAAAATCTGGAGCAGCTGTGCATGGGAGCCAATCAGCTTCTAACTTCAGCTTGTTCAGTTAACCATTTCCAGTCCGGACACTTTCCCCCCCCCAGTCCAGTCCCCCACCCCTTCCACGGCGCTTTCCCCCCCCTTCCAGTCCCGACGCTTTCCCCCCCCCCATTCCAGTCCCGACGCTTTCCCCCCCCCTTCCCCGAGTCCCCAGACGCTTTCCCCCCCCTTCCAGTCCCGACGCTTTCCCCCCCCTTCCAGTCCCGACGCTTTCCCCCCCTTCCAGTCCCGACGCTTTCACCCCCTTCCAGTCCCGACGCTTTCACCCCCTTCCAGTCCGGACACTTTCACCCCCCCCCCTTCCACACTTCACCCCCTTCCAGTCCGGACACTTTCACCCCCTTCCAGTCCGGTCACTTCCCCCCCCCCCTTCCAGTCCAGGCCAATTTTTCAGCTTTCAGCGCTATCACACGTTGAATGACAATTGCTTTCTCAGCGGTCATTGCAAACACTGTACCCATATGAAGCGTTTTTTTGAGACAGATAAAACTTTATTTTGGTGGTATTTATTCACCACTGCGATTTAAATTTTTTTGTTCTATAAATGAAAAAGTCCAAAAATTTGGGGGTGGGGGGATTGGGGGGGGGAAGTGTTCCTTATAAAACTTTGCAAATAAATAATCTTTTTTTCATAATTCTTGGCCAAAATGTATTCAGTTATCTTTTTAGTAAAAAGATAAAAAACAACCCAAATTAGTTTATAACCAAAAATTATAATTTTTCAAAACGTTTGACATTATTTTATTTTTTAGTATTTATGGGGTTTTTTTTAACATACTGTCACCCCAGCAGTACAGTGTCACCATAGTGACACTGTGCTACTTGTGGGGGGGGCATGGATGAAGATTTTTTTTTTTCTTTTTTTACACTGATTGCCTTTACACCCATAAAGGCTGTGAAAACAATTTCTCCTCTCTGGCTGCATTCTTGCAGCCATTGAGCAATACTGTGAGAGCTGTGATTGGTCACAGCTTGTCACATGGTACAAGGCTGTTGTGAATAGCCCTGTACCATGTGATATCTGTGATCATTCACAGATTTCACACGTAGTAAGCAATGATGTCAGAAGTGACACCTTGCTTACTACTCTGCATGTGATCACTGATTGGCCAATCAGTGATCACGATTGGGACCTCATACAGAGGTCCTGTACAGCGATCGGTGTTCGGAGGACACAGCGGGCACCAGATCGCAATGCCGCGCGCTCCCAGGAAAGGCGGGGAGGAAGTTTATAAACGGCCACCCACTCCTGCACTGCTCCCGTCCAGCCGTTTATATACATGGGCCGGACGAGAAGTGGTTTAACTTTGACAATAAAACCTGAAAGCTGATTGGTCGCAGAGCTGCACCGGATTTTGCACTCTCCAGTTTTACTAAATCAACCACAATAAATGTCAGATGGGTGAACAGTACAGGGGACCATAGCACGGTGCTGGGGTAGCAGAGGACATGGCAGCACCACCATGGATAGCAGGATATCCCATAATAGACGACTGTGGGTGTGGTACGATACAGCAGACTGTGCACCAATGCAGAGAAGGTTAGACTGACCACAGATGGATTGAAATCCAATCAGGTCAACAAGAATCGGTTGAATTTCAATCCATATATGGCCAATCTGGTTGTACTGAAGTCGATCCTTCGATCAGTTTCACCAGCCTGTTGGGGTTTTTTGCCTGATCACTGCTGGTGACTGTAGCCGGGTGGGGAAGGCTCCACGCCGGTAATACACAATAGTGCTGCAGGAGGGATTCTGTGTTGATGGGGGAAATCTAGCGATTTTCTTTCCTTCGATTCATGATAGAGGGAAAGAACATTGCAGTGTAGGGCCTGCCTTACACTTTGTAGGAGGCGAGACTCCTTTTTTTCCCAGCAGATCTGGAGAACTCTGGTCCAACACTTACCGTCTTAGAGATGCTCTGAGCTGCCCGGATCCGCCTCAACTTCAGGTACCCGGGGTTCTTACTGAGGGCGTCACCGATGTAGGAGACAGGTAAGGAAACAAAACAGAACAAAGCATGGCGGCATGGACTTGTATCTATGGCTATCTATGATGAACACACACCCCTCTCCCCCGTGTTTTAGTAATTCTGATGTTCTAGGTCAGAGGCCTGCAGACCTTCTAAGAAAAGGGCCAGTTTACTGTCCTTCAGGCTTTAGGGGGGCCGGACTGTTCAGTGTGGGAGAAAACAAAGCCCCAACTTTAATTCTATTGGGAAGATAGTGCCCCATCATTGGGTATCAGCCGGAGGATAGTGCCCCATCAATGGTGTCAGTGGAGAGGAATAGTGCCCCATCATTGGTGTCAGTGGGAGGAATTAGTGCCCCAATCATTGGTGTCAGTGGGAGGAATAGTGCCCATCATCATTGGTGTCAGTGGGAGGAATATAGGCCCCATCATTGGTGTCAGTGAGAAGTGTGGAGGATAGTGCCCCATCATTGGTGTCAGTGGGAGGAAATAGTGCCCCATCATTGGTGTCAGTGGGAGGAAGTAGTGCCCCATCATTGGTGTCGGTGGGAGGAATAGCGCCCCATCATTGGTGTCATGGGAGGAATAGTCGGTGTCAGTGGGAGGAATAGCGCCCCATCATTGGTGTCAGTGTGTCGGTGGGGTTAGTCAGGGAGGAATAGCGCCCCATCAGTTGTGGGAGTGTGCCCCATCAATGGTGCCAGTGGGAGGAATAGCGCCCCATCATTGGTGTCAGTGGGAAGAATAATGCCCATGGGTATCAGTGGGAAGAATAATGCCCAATCATTGGTATCAGTGGGGGAATAGTGCCCCATCATTGTGGTGCCCATCATTGGTATCAGTGGGGGGAATAGTGCCCCATCATTGGTGTCAGTGGGAGGAAATTAGTGCCCCATCATTGTATCAGTGGGAGGAATAGTGCGCCCCATCATTGGTATCAGTGGGAGGAATAGTGCCCCATCATTGGTGTCAGTGGGAGGAATAGCGCCCCATCATTGGTGTCAGTGGGAGGAATAGCGCCCCCATCATTGGTTGTCAGTGGGGGGGAATAGTGCCCCATCATTGGTGTCAGTGGAGGAATAGTGCCCCATCATTGGTGTCAGTGGGGGGGAATAGTGCCCCATCATTGGTGTCAGTGGGGGGAATAGCTGCCCCATCATTGGTGTCGTGGGGGGGAATAGTGCCACATCATTGGTGTCAGTGGGGGGAATAGCGCCCCATTGGTGTCAGTTGGGGGGAATAGTGCCACATCATTGGTGTCAGTGGGGGAATAGCGCCCCATTGGTGTCAGTGGGGGAATGTGCCCCATCATTTGGTGTCAGGAAGGGAATAGTGCCCCATCATTGGTGTCAGTGGGGGAATAGTGCCCCATCATTGGTGTCAGTGGGAGGAATAGCGCCCCATCATTGGCGTCAGTGGGGGAATAGCGCCCCATCATTGGCGTCAGTGGGGGGAATAGTGCCCCATCATTGGTGTCAGTGGGGGAATAGTGCCCCATCATTGGTGTCAGTGGAGGAATAGTGCCCCATCATTGGTGTCAGTGGGGAGGAATAGTGCCCCATCATTGGTGTCAGTGGGAGGAATAGTGCCCCATCATTGGTGGCTCAGTGGGGGAATAGCGCCCCATCATTGGTGTCAGTGGGAGGAAGAGGAATAGCTCCATCGTTGGTATCAGTGGGAGGAATAGCGCCCCATCATTGGTGTCAGTGGGAGGAATAGTGCCCCATCATTTGGTGTCAGTGGGGGGGAATAGTGCCCCATCATTAGTGTCAGTGGGGGGAATAGTGCCCTATCACTGGTGTCAGTGGGAGGAATAGTGCCCCATCATTGGTATCAGTGGGGGGAATAGTGCCCCATCATTGGTATCAGTGGAGGAATAATAGTGCCCCATCAATGGTGTCAGTGGGAGGAATAGTGTCCAATCCATTGGTGTCAGTGGGAGGAATAGTGCCCCATTATTGGTGTCAGTGGGGGGAATAGTGCCCCATTATATCAGTGGGGGGAATATGCCCCATCATTGGTATCAGGGGGGGGAATAGTGCCCCATCATTGGTGTCAGTGGGGGAATAGTGCCCCATCAATGGTGTCAGTGGGAGGAAGAGTGTCCATATCCATTGGTGTCAGTGGGAGGAATAGTGCCCCATATTAGTGTCAGTGGCAGGAATAGTGCCATAAGGGCCGGATAAAGGCAAGCAAAGGGTCACAGTTTGGAGTTCCAGAATACATGCTGCCAAGATAAGCAACTATGCAGACGAGATTCCAACAATCCCAACCACCATGGGGCTCCTTGTTAGATCTAAACGAAAATTGTACAGTCAGATTGTAATTGTGTGAAGACAAGGTCTATGTAGTGCAGGGCCAGTCTGATTGGATAGATCAGGTAGGTCCCTCATATTATAATTTAGGCCAAGGGGTTAAAATTTTGAGTCCAGACCTACTAGCCTGGCACAAACCTGACTCGTGTCCCCTGCGGCGGTGGAGAGTGGGCCTCGTGTCCCCCTTGGAGAGGGTGTCTCCTCTCAGCGCAGGAGAGCGGACCTCTCCTGCACCTGTCCCCTCAGCGGTGCTGCCACTGTAATGGCAATGCTACAGAAACCGGAAGTTGTAAACTGGAAATCGGCACAGAGGAATTTCTCCTCGCATTTGGCAAGCGGCTTTATCAAGCCCTGATTTAGGCGACTTTAAAGGTGACTAAACAAAAAATTGTGCAGTCAGATTGGAATGTGTCTGGTGGCCCTTAAAAAGAGGCAGACATGGGAATAACACAGAAAGATGCAACAAACAGCTTCTGCAGCGGCATTTTTTTTAAAAATGAATCAGTCACTTTGTTCAGTCAAGGTAAAGTGACAGGTTCTCTTGTTAGGCCACCAACCTCTCCCACTGATCATGCCCTGTGCTGCTCTCCCCCTCCACTTCGTTTGTCCTCCCCCTGACATTTATCTTTATGTGTATTTCCTGCAGCTGGAAAACAGCAGGTCAGCTGAGCCAAAGGGGTATGAATAGAGGTTAAAGCGGAACTCTAGACAAACGGCTTTGATACACAGAAGAAATATATACTGTTTTACCTGCCAAAGGATTTTTTTTTTTTATTTCTGTCCAACCAGTTCTGAGATTTTACACAGCTCCGCCACAAAGCACAGATCTGTCTGGCATGGCAGGAGACCGCATTCTACTCTGCTGCAGTTCAGTAACACAGGTCTCCTCTCTCCCCCCACTATGTAAGGAGAAGCAGAAGACACATACATCTGTCACTCTGCTCCTACAAGTATGTTCCTTCCCATATGGAGCAAAAATATTATTTGAAATACTACAATTTTGCCCATATTCAATATATTTCAATAGAGATCTCTCTATCTTCACAGCCCACATTTCACAGTCCATTCATAAAATGTAGGCTGTTGTGCGGAGCCTGTGGTGACCCAGGGAGGCCCTCTGCTTAAAACGGCTAAGACTGGTCACATGACAGATCACATGATCAGGCTCCCATTCTCCCCCTCCGCTCCAGTTAATAATTGAGATGTGTGAATGGTCATATAAATCAGCGATATGGTCACAGTAAGGCCATACTTCTGCTTGAACCTCTTCACACCGGCGCCTCCCGGCCCTTTAAGGGGTTTCAGATGCCGGGAGGCAGGGCAGGGTGTTAGCCCCGGTTCACATCTATGCAGCTGCGCAGGCCGCAATTTGCACAGGCACGAGAGACCATTCATTTGATAGGACTCCCGTGCCCCGGGACACGCAGAGAAGTCCCTGCACTTCTTCCGAAAACGCAGCCGAGGTTCCCAGTACGGCTGCGTTTTCCAGTGCGGGGCGGCGTGGTATTAGAACTAATGGCCCCCGCCCACGGGTCCGCATTTCTCTGTGCACGGATTTTCGTGCAGATCCGCAGCGGCACCACCCGCACAGACGTGAACCTACCCCTTAGGGTCCTGTGACCGCCGTGGTTCACTGTCACATGATCAGAAAAGGTCCCGATCGCAACAGGAGATCGGGACCTTTTCGTTGAGACAAACACCGACATACGTGCTGGGAGCGCGCAATCTCAGCACATACGTGTTGTCAAATGGTACGCAAATATATGGCCGCTCGGCCACAAGGCCCAGCCGCCGAGAGGCCGCATATTTGCGTACGGTCAGCATCAAGGGGTTAAGGATGGGGTTTAAAGTGCACTTCTGGACTTAAAACACAGCTGCAATATCAGGGGCGCGCTCTCAGCACATACGTGTTTTCAAACCGTAGACAAATATGCGGCCGCTCGGCGTCAAGGCCCAGCCGCTGAGGCCGCATTTTTGCGTACGGCGTTAAGGACGGGGTTTAAAGTTCACATCTGGACTGCTGCAATGTGGCCTGGAGAAAACAGCCACGTCATTGGCCAACTTTGCTGTTTGCCCAGAGTTGCTCTCAGTCCACCCACAACTGTTGGAGGATTATAATTAAAAAACAAAAAAAACACAAAAAAAAAAAACAAAAAACAAAAAAAAAACAAAAAACACAAAAAAAAAAACAAAAAACAAAAAAACAAAAAGACAATTGCTCATCTGTTGGGTATTCCAGTCATGGGATCCGTATCCTGAAGATCACAGATCAACAGTTCCCACTAGAAAACGATGCAGGAAACCCACAGCAGTACCACGAGATCGCGCTGCACCCGGATCGCTTGTGAATCACACAGGAATGATCAGGGCGCTGCTCTGGTGCAATTCGTGGCGTGGACAGACCCTCAAGGTGGCCAGGAACAGCCAAGGAACACGAGAGCCAAGCTAGGAATCATCACATAATGATCATAGAGGTACATAGGAGATACGAGAAGCCAATGAATGGACCAGCCAACCAGACTCCACCAATATCAAATGATTACTTTTAGGTGGATCGTTTAAGATGGCAGATCTGGACGACGGTGCAGAGCACAAGACAGCAGAGTCCGGTACAGTCCATGTCATGCACACGGGGGAAAGGATATCATTTTGGCAGCTGTAGCCTCTCCTTCCGCCTGAACGATCTTCTGTTTCTGATCTTGCTTGGCTTTCTCCACCAAAAACTGAGCTCGCTGGGCCTCTTGCTGGGCTAAAGGTAAGAAGGCAAAGTCAGATCGGGCAACAGAATGAGAAAAAAAAAAAGAGAGAATAAAACAGCATATGGCATAGGACAAGAAACAGGTTGTAAACAAAGTGCTTTAGCATCGTGGATAAACTAAAACTATAAGTACATACATATGCACTATGAAGATCCTCACACCTCCGAAAGGCGATCAAAAAATGGAAAAAATGGATAAATTAAAAAACTACAAGTACATACATATGCACTATGAAGACCCTCACCTCTGAAAGGCGATCAAAAAAATGGAAAAAAAAAAAATAAATGGATGAATTAAAACTATAAGTACATACATATGCACTATGAAGACCCTCAGACCTCTGAAAGGTGATAAAAAAAATGGAAAAAAAAAAAAAAAAATTAAAAACTATAAGTTCATAAATATGCACTATGAAGATCCTCACACCTCCGAAAGGCGATCAAAAAATAGAAAAAATTGATAAATTAAAAACTAGAAGTACATACATATGCACTATGAAGACCCTCAGACCTCCGAAAGGCAATCAAAAAATGGAAAAAATGGATAAATTAAAACTATAAGTACATACATATGCACTATGAAGACCCTCAGACCTCCAAAGGCGATCAAAAAAATGGATAAATTAAAACTATAAGTACATACATATGCACTATGAAGACCATCAGACCTCCAAAAGACGATCAAAAAAATGGAAAAAAAAAAAAAATGGATAAATTAAAACTATAAGTTCATAAAATATTTACTATGAAGACCCTCACACCTCTGAAAGGCGATAAAAAATGTTTAAAAAACGTAATAAAAACTATGTAAGTACATACATATGCACTATGAAGACCCTCCCACCTCTGAAAGGCGATCAGAAAATGGATAAATTAAAACTAAAAGTACATACATATGCAATATGAAGATCCTCACCTCTGAAAGGCGATAAAAAAAATAAAAAAAAAGTAATAAAATAAAACTATGAGTGCACTAGTCATAAGTGTGCATAAAAAACAGTGAAATATGGTCAAATGAACATTGGAATATCATACACCATACATATACTCGAATTTATCTAATTTTTTGATCGCCTTTCAGAGGTGTGAGGGTCTTCATAGTGCATATTTACGTACTTTACATAGTTTTCATTTATTGGTCGCCTTTCAGAGGTGTGAGGGCCTTTATAGTGCATATATGTATGTACTTGCATAGTTTTAAGCTATCCATTCTTTGATCGCCTTTCAGAGGTGTGAGGGTCTTCATAGTACATATGTATGTTGTATAAAAGGTTCACCTAGCGCAGTATCCATTCGAATTATGTTTTTTAAGAGGATATCCTCTTTAATACACGCAGCTTTGTGACATCAGGCGATTAGATTTGCGCGGTTTGATCCCATATACAAAAAAAAAAAAAAGCTAAAAGTGCCCCCCCCCCCCCATGAGCTATGAACTACTTTAGCAGCATAGACTGCAGGTCCTGCTCTTTAAGCTGACCCCCCCCCCCCCCCCCCTCCCCCCCATCCTTTTGCTGAAGAGCCTAAAGCAGGCCATACCACGTTAGAAAATCATTCGAAAAGCATTCGATACCCTCGATTGTTCGCATTTCAAAACGTTAGCGGGCGAATTTCGATTATTGAAATGCAAAGTTCTACGGTGAAAAAACCAGAACCATCGTGTCAGATTTTTTGAGCCGATCGATTTTCTAAACATTAGTAGAGGAAACGATCAAAACCAGTTCCAAAAAAAAACACACTCCAGCGCAGGCATGTGTTATAATGTGATCCTGTAAGTGTAATCGATCGACGGAAAATGTACCTGGTTATCGATCGATATGTCAATAATTATCGATACAATGATGGCGTTATCGCGTGCACGTTTGACAGATCTTTATATATCCGATTGTTCCCCCCCCCCCTCCCCCCCAACAACTTTCTCACAGTGTATGGCCAGCATAAGACAACTGCCTCATCTGCCTACCCCTCAGTCCTGCAGATCAGATTCATTGAAGATCCAGTAACCTCCCTAGCGGTCTGATTATGTCAGTATTTCTGTGCTCAAAGCGGTACATTTTTTTGCATGGAAATATGACTTTTTTTTTTTTATTGTAGGCCTGTAATTCTTAGGAATAACTCACTGAAATCTGTCCCAACAAAAGTCTAGTAAACATCCCGGGTAGGATAAAAATTGAAACACGAAATCATAAATTATAATATAATATATAATCATAAAAAATATAATAAATGTAATTCAATAATATAATCAAACCAAAAACACTGAAATGTGAAATATAGCGCCAAGTTCGCACATCGCTGAGCAAAGTCGTAGAATCGTTTTCAGTGTCTGATGAGGAATTTCCCCCACGAATCATTATCACTCAATTCTGCAAGTGGTTCTGATTTACTATCGCTGTTCTCTAGCCGGTCTAAAACCGCTTTTGACCTAAAGGGACGCTTTTTGGACGCCATGGACGTTTCTCAGTTTCCAGGCAGAAAGAACAGTCAAAATGCAGGCAGGGCGCCGGACAAAGCACTCGGGACAAAATGTATGTGAAATGGTTTGATACAGGAATGTTATACTATGTGATTTTAGTGTATTTAGTGAATGTCACATTTACAATTTTCAAATTTCCCGCCGGTTCCGGCCCCCGTACGTCCCGACATCGCAGGGAATGGAACCCGGAAGACATATGCTGGCATCGGCTGGAGGACATTACTGGGGACACTGCAGGGGGGACATGGCGGGAGCGCAGGACAAGGTAAGTGCTGGAGAGATCCCAGAGCAACGCTGCAGTGTATTCCCGAGTGTAGCTCGGGGGGGGGGGGGGGGGGTTACCATTTCTGGTACTGAAACTTTACCCCGAGCTACTCGGGAATACCGCCAGGGGGGTTAATTAAATCCCACCTGAGTTTTCAGTCTGAAGCAGCTAAATACCTTCCTAGTGCAGACAAAAGGTGTGCAAAGTCTTACAGTTCATTTTCAGCCAAAGCTTGAGTAGAAAATCCTGTCCCCTGCCTGTGTGCTGCGGAGAAGGACCCTTGCACTGTGGAAGCAGTGGTCTCTCTGCAGAATTCCGACACGCCCCCTTCTGAGTCAGAGCTAGAACTCTCCAATCAGCCAGAAGCAGGTACTCCGGTTTCCTCCCACACTCCAAAGACATGCTGGGAGGTTAATTGGCTCCTGTCTAAATTGTCCCTAGTATGTGTATGTATGAATGCGAGTTAGGGACCTTAGATTGTATGATCCTCGGGGGCGGGGACTGATGTGATGTACAATATATGTAAAGTGCTGCGTAAATTGACTGCGCTATATAAGTACCTGAAATAATTAAATCCTTCTAGTTTTAAGCAGGGGGTGGTCTGCACCCCTCTCGCTCTGTCTCTGCATCCCGCTCTGCTGTAAATGAGTTGCACCCGCCCACCTGCAGGCAGTGGTGAGTAATGTAGGCCATAGACGGGTCTAAAATCCGATTTTTCGTCCGATGTTGCCACCAATGATTTCGAAAATCGGTCTGTTTTCATGAATTTTCCAGCATGACCAATAAATGAAATGAGGAGGAACCACGGAAATCGTCCGATGCCCATTGCCCCACTAACAGAGCGAAAATCGGCCAATTATTCTTTCGGACGAAAAATCGGCCGATTTTCGAACATCTATGGCCTGCATTAGAGGCGGCCAATTCAGCCCAGTGCAAAGCAAATCTCGCACGGATTTCTTAGGGTAGTTGGAAGCAGGGGCAGACTGACAACTCATGGGGCCCCCGGGCAATAGGGGATCATGGGGCCCCTGTGTCCTTGCCCAAACTCAAAAAAGCCTATGAAAAAAAGTACCAAGGGCATCTCATGGGGCCCCCTACTGACCCCGGGCTCTCGGGCAGTGCCCAAGTTTCCAAATGGTCAGTCCGCCCCTGGTTGGAAGCGATGTATTCACAGCACAGCTGAGTGTGGACCATGCTGCTTCAAAAACAGACTTCTGTCCAGTAAAAGGTAACCGTCTATTCCAGCTGTAAATAATTATATTCACAGCACGCATAAAAGTGTCAGAGCATTTTTTTTCAATGGAACATCTCGCGAACAGCAATATTTGTGGGGGTGGTAAAAAATGCGAGGTTGAGCCGTGTTTTTTTAGTAACTCCCCAACTTAAAGTGGTTATAAAGGCTCAAGTTTTTTTTTTTTTTGTTTTGTTTTTTTTTTTTATAACCTTCATGCATTCTATTCATGAACGTAAAAAAAAACCCTTCTCTGTGCACCAGACCCTCCCCCCCCCCAGCTCCTCCCAAATACTTACCCCATAGCCTAAAAGCAGTGGTTTCCCTGGATCTCCCTCTCCTCATTGGCTGAGACAGCAGAGGGAGCCATTGGCTCGGCAGGAGGGTGCACCCAAAGAACAGAGGTATACCGCTCCGGCATACAATCCAGATCAATCCACGACAGGTGCAGGCTCCGGCTCGCCACCACACACGATGCAACAGGAAGAAGAGTCCCATGCCTGATGAAGGGGTCCTGCGAGACTCCGAAACGTTGCCTTGCTGTAACTATGTGATCGTTCATTAAAACTTTTGGACCCGTATTGGTGATCCTCGGTGTGCTGGTGACACTTTCCCTTCCAGGAAGAAGGGTCAGCCGCACACCGGAGGATAGATGAATATACTGTATATTTATTGATCCATAGGACACACAACACACCAGGACATGAATACAAGACCTAACGCGTTTCACACGATCACTCAGCAGGAGGGAGGGGCCAGGAGCGCCAGCGGGGGGACCCGAGAAGAGGATCGGGCCCGTTCTGTGCAAAACCATTACACAGCGCAGGCAAGCGTGACACGTTTGTTTATTTAGAAAAAAAAAAAAAAAAGCCTTTAATATCACTTTAAGGGGCAATGGTAGTGGAAAGGGGTGTTGACATGCTTCGTGCCCACTACAAAAAACTATCCAATCAGCAGGCAGTAAGCCCGCCGAACGCAACCCATTCAAGCATTTGGCCCTGCCCCCACTCCCTTTTCACAGCATCTGATTGACAGCAGTGGGAGCCAATGGCTCTTGCTGCTATAAATCTGCCCAGTGAGGAGGCAGATAGCGGAGAGAGCCAGATTGGGAACGGCTCAGGCAGGTACAAGAGAGAGGCTGGGGGGATCCTGCAGCACAGAAGGTGCACCTTAATGCATAAAAATGCATTAAAGGAATAAACAAACCTAAAGGCTTTAGAACCACTTTAATACAGTACACAGCAGCACTTACCGACTTGCTTGGACTCCACAGCTGCTGTGTACTCCTTACTGAAGCTCAGTTCAGTGATAGCCACGTCGTCCAGGATAATACTGAAGTCCTTGGCTCTTTCTGTCAGTTCTCTACGGATCAGGAGGGAGACCTGCAGACATGGAGATGAGACATTGTCACCAACCAGAAATGAAGGATGGAAGTCAAACACCAAAAGATACAATAACTTGGTGTAAAGTTCAATAAAATCTACAAACAGCATGGGAACTGTACTCCGTAATCATACTAAAACCTCACAAAAACAGACTACAGTGGTATATCTGGGGGGTATTTTCCTGCAAGCAATTACAGGAAAGGACAGTCTTCTGCTTAGTATGCAACTGGGCACAACGATTTCCCATCCTGAAAGTTTTTACCCGAGTCCCCAAAAGCCTCTGGTCCGAGTCCCCAAAAGCCTCTGGTCCGAGTCCCCAAAAGCCTCTGGTCCGAGTCCCCAAAAGCCTCTGGTCCGAGTCCCCAAAAGCCTCTGGTCCGAGTCCCCAAAAGCCTCTGGTCCGAGTCCCCAAAAGCCTCTGGTCCGAGTCCCCAAAAGCCTCTGGTCCGAGTCCCCAAAAGCCTCTGGTCCGAGTCCCCAAAAGCCTCTGGTCCGAGTCCCCAAAAGCCTCTGGTCGAGTCCCCAAAAGCCTCTGGTACGAGTCCCCAAATATGCAGAATTACCTAGGTGTACAAGGTACATTCCTTTTTTGGCAGCACTAAAGTGTAAGCTCACATTTCTGCAGAAAATGAAAGGTTTCACCATTAGCCGCATGGCTGCCTTTAAAGGACCTGTTGTAAATGGGGTGCGCTGAGTGCAGGGTTCAGTGGGTGCGCTACGTACAGAGTGCAGGGCTCAGTGCGTGCGCTACGTACAGAGTGCAGGGCTCAGTGCGTGCGCTACGTACAGAGTGCAGGGCTCAGTGCGTGCGTGCGCTACGTACAGAGTGCAGGGCTCGGTGCGTGCGCTACGTACAGAGTGCAGGGTCGGTGCGTGCGCTACGTACAGAGTGCAGGGCTCAGTGCGTGCGCTACGTACAGAGTGCAGGGTGCTCAGTGCGTGCGCTACGTACAGAGTGCAGGGTTCAGTGCGTGCGCTACGTACAGAGTGCAGGGCTTCAGTGCAGGGCTCGGTGCGTGCGCTACGTACAGAGTGCAGGGCTCAGTGCGTGCGCTACGTACAGAGTGCAGGGGGTGCGTGCGCTACGTCAGTGCGTGCGCTACGTACAGAGGGCTGCAGGGTGCAGTGGGCGTGCGCTACGTACAGAGTGCAGGGTTCAGTGCGTGCGCTACGTACAGAGTGCAGGGCTCAGGGGTGCGCTACGTACAGAGTGCAGGGCTCAGTGCGTGCGCTACGTACAGAGTGCAGGGCTCAGGGGTGCGCTACGTACAGAGTGCAGGGCTCAGTGCGTGCGCTACGTACAGAGTGCAGGGCTCAGTGCAGGTGCGCTACGTACAGAGTGCAGGGCTCAGGGGTGCGCTACGTACAGAGTGCAGGGCTCAGGGGTGCGCTACGTACAGAGTGCAGGGCTCAGTGCGTGCGCTACGTACAGAGTGCAGGGCTCAGTGCGTGCGCTACGTACAGAGTGCAGGGCTCAGGGTGCGCTACGTACAGAGTGCAGGGTTCGGTGTGTGCACAGTATGTAACCCCAACCCCCCCAACTCCAAGTTTCCTTGCATCTCTCTTTCCTCCACAAATCAAGCCAGGTAGGAAACAAAACTAACAGGAGAAGGCAACAGTATATTCTGATAGGAGTAAAAGAAGTACCTAATGTAGGCTAAAGTGACTTCTCAGCTCATATTTCTGTCATTTTAGCATGCGTTTAACACACACTGTCATTTTGCTAAAGAAGGCTAAAGTGACAGTGTCTTTGCAAAGACCCACCATCGACCCCCCCCCCCCCCCCCCCTACACTTACCTTAACAGCACTCCCCAACTGCTCCTGGCTCTAGTACCTCCTTGTGTAGGCATCTCTGCCTCGCCTGCTGGAGATCTGTCCCCACCATGAGTGTGTGCAGGGATCTGTTAGTTTCGGGAGCCGCAGAGAGAGCAAAGCTCTCCCTTGTAAACACCGAAGGCTTCTGTGTTTACAAATGACAGTGGGGAGCGGAGGGTGAGAGCCGGAGGTGGTGGAATAGAGTTTTGCCACATTCCAGCTGCAAAACTGGGTGCGAGGGCAACATAACCAGGCCTGGAGGACCAGATTTGGCCTGCAGGCCTTGTGTCTGACATATGTGCCCTACACCCTCTGCACCCCACTGCAGCAGTCCAGGAATTTGAAAGCTATGCTCTTCTTCCCCATCATTCCTTAGGGCTTCCAGGACGGATCACAGCGATTCCGATTGATCAAAGAGTTCATGTGGGTTATGAAGACTTTGCTTCAGCTTTAACAATTACTTTTAAAACCATTACCTGTGCAACCCACAAATACCTTCTCTTCCTGCGAAGATTACCTGAGCTCTCTGTGTGATCAGCTGTGAAGCGTTGAATTTGCCACCACGCTCTTCAAAACTTCATTGACAATGGAAGGCAGGACCCTCTCTTCATAATCCAGGCCGAGCCTCTGGTACATATGGGGCAGCTCAGAGGCCAATGGTCGGGACAGGACACGTAGTGTGATGTTTACCATCTGCAGATCTGTAAGAGGGATGAAAGCAGTATTAAACCCTCAGCCATTTGTAGTGCAACACACTGAGCTCCCCCCCCCAAAAAAAATAAAAAAAATTGCATTATAACACACACACACATTTTATATATATATATATATATATATATATATATATATATATATATATATATATACATACATACACACACACACATACACATACATACATACACACACACACATATACCACCACACACACATTACACACACAAACCACATTATATGTGTGTGTGTGTGTGTGTATATATATACACAGTTGCAAGAAAAAGTATGTGAACCCCTTGGGATTACGTGGAGTTTTGCATGAATTGGGCATAAAATGTGCTCTGAACGTCATCTAAGTCACAACAATAGAAGAGCACAGTCTGCTGAACATAATACTACACAAACATTAGATGTTGCCATGGTTTAATTGCACATAACATGTAAACATTCACAGTGCAGGGAGGAAAAAGTATGTGAGGCCCTAGCTTAATGACTTCTCCCAGAGCTAATTGGAGCCAGGAGTGAGCCAACCTTGACTCCAATCAGTGTGATGATATTGGATGTGTTGCTGACAGCTGTCCTGCCCTTAAAAAACACACACCTGTTTTGGGTTTACTGGTTTCAAGAAGCACTGTCTGATGTGAACCATGCCTCGCAGAAAAGAGCTCTCAGAAGACCTACGATCAAGAATTGTTGACTTGCATGAAGCTGGAAAGGGTTACAAAAGTATCTCCAAAAGCCTTGATGTTCATGTGTCCACGGTAAGACAGATTGTCTACAAATGGAGAAAGTTTAGCACTGTTGCTACTCTCCCTAGGCGTGGTCGTCCTGTAAAAATGACTGCAAGAGCACAGCGCAGAATGCTGCATGAGGTAAAGAAGAATCCCAGAGTGTCAGCTAAAGACCTACAGAAATCTCTGGCACATGCTAACATTTTTGTTGACACATCTACAAGAAGGAAAACATTAAACAAGAATGGAGTACATGGGAGGACACCACGGAGGAAGCCATTGCTGTCCAAAAAGAAGATTGCAGCACGTTTGAAGTTTGCAAAAGAGCACCTGGATGTTCCACAGCACTACTGGCAAATATACTGTGGACAGATGAAACCAAGATTGAGTTGTTTGGGAAGAACACACAACACTATGTGTGGAGAAAAAAAGGCACAGCACACCAACATCAAAACCTCATCCCCACTGTGAAACATGGCGGAGGGAGCATCATGGTTTGGGGCTGCTTTGCTGCCTCAGGGCCTGGACGGATTTTTGTCATTGATGGGAAAATGAATTCCAGAGTTTATCAAGACATTTTGCAGGAAAACGTACGACCATCTGTCCGCCAACTGAAGCTCCGCAGAGGATGGGTGATGCAACAGGACAATGACCCAAAGCATACAAGAAATTCAACAAAACAATGGCTGCAACAGCACAGAATACGCCTTCTGGAGTGGCCCAGTCAGAGTCCTGACCTCAACCCATTGAAATGCTGTGGCATGACCTTAAGAGAGCGATTCACACCAGACATCCCAAGAATATCGCTACACTGAAACAGTTTTGTGAAGAGGAGTGGTCCAAAATGACTCCAGATCGTTGTGCAGGTCTGATCTGCAACTACAGGAAACGTTTGGTTGAGGTTATTGCTGCCAAAGGAGGGCCAACCAGTTATTAAGTCCAAAGGTTCACATACTTTTTCCTCCCTGCACTGTGAATGTTTACATGTTATGTGCAATTAAACCATGGCAACATCTAATGTTTGTGTAGTATTATGTTCAGCAGACTGTGTTCTTCTATTGTTGTGACTTAGATGACGTTCAGAGCACATTTTATGCCCAATTCATGCAAAACTCCACGTAATCCCAAGGGGTTCACATACTTTTTCTTGCAACTGTATATATAGATTCTACATATACATACATACATATATACACACACACACACATATAAATAAAAGAGTGAACAGTGCAATCTCCAGCCAGCCTGTTAGCTTGGGGTGGGGGGGGAGGAAAGGGCAGTGCCTTGCAATCTTAGCCTATAGGGCTGTGTGTGTCTATTGCTGTACACAGTGTAGAAAGGCGAACCTGTAGTCACTGCATGCAAGTGGCTGCATATGCTGAAAGAGAAAGGAGCCTCCCTGAAAAGAGGAAACCTGAGGCAGCAGTCCTGGCACCAGTGTACACTGGATCATAGGCAAGGATTAATTGATAAAGCAGCTCCATACGAAGCCAGCGATCATCTACTGAAAGTACTTAAGTAAACTGAAGGTTCAATATCACTTTCACACAGCTACCCATAAATCTAAACACATTACATATGGCGAAGGGATGAAGATTGTTACCTTTGGACCCTGTGGGGGAGGAGATTTTCCTGGGCTTTGCTCGGATGTCGTAGATAACTGGATATTGGAACCAGGGAACCCTACAAGACACACAGACATGACATAAAGGACACCGTAAAGGACAAAGTGTGCAAACAATAATATACACCAGTCGGGGGCACTCTCATTAGGAGGAGAATACAATTGCTTCTGGAATGATCACAGAACTCCTTGCAACTGCATCAGCAAATGTCAATTAGAGGAGCTGTGGTGGCAGTCATGTGGGAGACACCCTGAAGAACTATGGCAATGCACCTGAGTTGCAGCGAAGCAAAATGCACAGCAGTATATTGCATTTAAAAAAAATAAAAAGGGAGAGTGCGAGGGGGGGGGGGGGGGAGAAGAGAAGCGCGAGGAAGGCGAGGGGGGGGGGGAGAGAAGAGAGCGCGAGGAAGGGGGGGGGAGAGAAGAGAAGCGCGAGGGGGGGAGGGGGGGGAGAGAAGAGAAGCGCGAGGGGGGGGGGAAGAGAAGCGCGAGGAAGGGGGGGGGGGGAGAGAGAGAAGCGCGAGGAAGAGAAAGGGGGGGGGTGGGGAGAAGAGAAGCGCGAGGAAGGGGGGGGGGGGGGGGAAGAGAAGAGGAAGCGCGAGGGAAGGGGGGGGGGGGAAGAAGAGAAGCGCGAGGAAGTGGGGGGGGGGAGGGGGAAGAAGACAAGCGCGAGGAAGTGGGGGGGGGGGGGGGGGGAGAAGAAGACAAGCGCGAGGAAGTGGGGGGGGGGGGGGGGGGAAGAAGAGAAGCGCGAGGAAGGGGGGGGGGAGAGAAGAGAAGAGAAGCGCGAGGAAGGGGGGGGGGAAGGAGAAGAGAAGCGCGAGGAAGGGGGGGGGAGGGAGAAGCGGCGAGGGGGGGGGGGGGAGAGAAGAGGGGGGGGGGAGGGGGGGGAGAGAGGGAGAGAAGCGCGAGGAAGGGGGGGGAGGGGAGAAGGGGGAGGGGAAGGGGGGGGAGAGGAAGAGAAGCGCGAGGAAGGGGGGGGGGGAGGAGAAGAGGAAGGGGGAGGGGAAGGGGGGGGGGGGAGAGAAGCGAGGAAGGGGGGGGAAGGGGGGGAGGGGAGAGGGGGAGCGCGAGGGGGTGGGGGGGGGGGGGGGGAGAGGAAGGGGGGGGGAGAGGAGGGGGGGGGGGGGGAGAGAGAAGCGCGAGGAGGGGGGGGGGGGGGGGGAGAAGCGCGAGGAAGGGGGGGGGAGAGAAGCGCGAGGAAGGGGGGGGGGGGAGAGAGAAGGCGAGGAAGGGGGGGGGGGGAGGGGGAGGAGGGGAGGAGGGGGGGGAGAGAAGAGAAGCGCGAGGAAGGGGGGGGGGGGAGAGAGAAGAGGAAGCGGGAGGAAGAAGGGGGGGGGGGGGGGAGAGAAGAGAAGCGCGAGGGGGGGGGGAGAGAGAGGGGGGGGGGGGAGAAGAGAAGGCGAGGAAGGGGGGGGGGAGAAGAGAAGCGCGAGGAGAGGGGGGGGGGGGGGAGAGAGAGAGAAGCGCGAGGAAGGGGGGGGGGGAAGCGCGGGAAGAAGAGAAGCGCGAGGAAGGGGGGGGGGAGAAGAATTGAGAAGCGGCGAGGAAGGGGGGGGGGTGGGGAAGAGAAGTGAGAGGAGAGAGAAAAGCGCGAGGAAGGGGGGGGGGGAAAGCGCGAGAAGAGAAAGCGAAGCGCGAGGGAAGGGGGGGGGAGGGGGGGGGGAGAAGAGAAGCGCGAGGAAGGGGGGGGAGAAGAGAAGAGAAGCGGGAGGAAGGGGGGGGGGGGGGGGGGGGAGAGAAGAGAAGCGCGAGGAAGGGGGGGGGGGGAGAGAGAAGGGGGGGGGGGGGAGAAGAGAGGAGGAGGGGGGGGGGGGAGAGAGAAAAGAGAAGAAGCGCGAGGAAGGGGGGGAGGGGGGAAGAGGGGGGGGAAGAAGAGAATCGAAGGAAGGGGGGGGGAGAAGGAGGGGGAAGGGGGGGGAGAGAAGCGCGAGGAAGGGGGGGGGGGAAGAGAAGAGAAAGGAAGCGGGGGGGGGAAGGAAGGGCGAGGGGGGGGGGGAGAGAAGAGAATCGAAGGAAGGGGGGGGGGGAGAGAAGAGAAGCGCGAGGAAGGGGGGGGGGGAGAGAAGAGAAGCGCGAGGAAGGGAGGGGGGGGGAGAGAAGAGAAGCGAGAGATAGGGGCGGCGGAAGAAGAGAAGCGCGAGGAATGGGGGGGGGGGGGGGAGAAGAGGAAGCGCGAGGAAGGGGCATGAGGAAGGGGAGGGGGGAGAGAGCGCGAGAGCAAGGATGGGGGGGGGGTGATTCCTGTAGACAAATCACATGATCAGGAACCTGCACTGGTTGGTTCCCAGTTATCAGGGGGGGGTCCTGTGGCCGTCAGTCTCAGGCAGGAGGGTGCTGCTTGCTCCATTGAACACAGTAAACTCTGCACATTTCTGTTTTTAGAAGACTGGAGCAGCCAGAATTTGGAGCAACTGTTCCTGGCAACCAATCAGCTTGAAGATTTGATTATTATCAGAGCATAACTGAACAAGCTGAAGTTAAGCCCGCTGGGTGTTCTGCACAGAAGAACCAGTTTCTGGCTGCTCCGGTTTTAGCAGATCCCCCCCCCCACTCCAGATTAATGCAGCTAACAATTGACCTCTATAAATAACATTCGCTCGCTCCCCTCCCCGTGCTTACATTTATAAAACTATCCCTGGTGTAATAAAGCTTCCTAAAGAAGAGGCCGGACCCCAATCAGAGGTGCACCCAAAGTGAGCCAAATGTTTGCCAATTGCATAATTATTCCCAGGAGGAGGTCAGCAATGGCTGCCTCTGCAAGTCTCTCAGAACAGGTTCTCTTTACCTTTCCCACCATTGGACTCTATGGAGCTCTGTTACCCCAGCACAGAACACATGCACCCCTGGAAGAGCAGTACCTGAAATGAAGACCCTCAGCGAGGATGGCGTCCTGCTGAACTCCACCGATGCGGTTGAAGAAGATGGCTCTGTGACCTCCCTCCACTGGGAAGAGACGTAGATGACTGTTAGATGCCATTTATTTAGCCACTTTATACCACATTGTAATAGTTGGCAGAGCATTACAAACAATTTACATCAGTCCAGTCAACGCCCCTCTGGAGACACTCACAGCCACAGGGTCAACTCCCCCCCCCCACCTTCCCACCAGACACTCACAGCCACAGGGTCAACTCCCCCCCCCCTTCCCCCAGAGGCACTCACAGCCACAGGGTAAACTCCCCCCCCCCTCCTTCCCCGGAGGCGCTCACAGCCACAGGGTCAACCCCCCCCCCCTCCTTCCCCGGAGGCACTCACAGCCACAGGGTAAACTCCCCCCCCCCTCCTTCCCCCGGAGGCGCTCACAGCCACAGGGTCAACCCCCCCCCCCCTTCCCCCGGAGGCACTCACAGCCACAGGGTCAAAAACTCCCCCCCCCCCCCCTTCCCCCGGAGGCGCTCACAGCCACAGGGTCAACCCCCCCCCCTCCTTCCCCCGGAGGCGCTCACAGCCACAGGGTCAATGCATGGCTGCAGAACAGCAAAGACCTTCCAATGACCTCCAACTTGAAACCCTCCAAGTCGGTCTATGCCCCACTATACAGTACAGGGAACAGGTCACTACATACACTATATTGCCAAAAGTATTGGGCCACCTGCCTTTCCATGCACATGATCTTTAATGGCCCCCCAGTCTTAGTCCGTAGGGTTCAATATTGAATTGGCCGGCCTTTCCACACACGTGACCTTTAATGGCCCCCCAGTCTTAGTCCGTAGGGTTCAATATTGAGTTGGCCTTGCCTTTCCACACACATGACCTTTAATGGCCCCCCCCAGTCTTAGTCCGTAGGGTTCAATATTGAGTTGGCCCCACCCTTTCCACGCATATGACCTTTAGTCCGTAGGGTTCAATGAGTTGGCCCCCCCTTTCCACGCATATGACCTTTAATGTCTTAGCCGTAGGGTTCAATATTGAGTTGGCCCCACCCTTTCCACGCATATGACCTTTAATGACCCCCCCCCCCGTCTTAGTCCGTAGGGTTCAATATTGAGTTGGCCCCGCCCTTTGCAGCTATAACAGCTTCACTCTTCTGGGAAGGCCGTCCACAAGGTTTAGGAGGGTGTCTATGGGAAGGTTGGACCATTCTTCCAGAAGCACATTTGTCAGGTCAGGCACTGATGTCGGGGGAGGAGGCCTGGCTCGCAGTCTCCGCTCTAATTCACCCCAAAGGTGTTCTATGGCGTTGAGGTCAGGACTCAGCACATGCTCAGTTGTTCTCTATTTTTCGGCACTGTGTGGAAAATGTGGAGGCCGATCTGCTGACAGTGTAAAGATTTACTGCTGCTCAGGGGCTCTGGGTTTCAGCCAAATGGCCGCCTCCAGCAAGAAGAAAATGGGAGCAATGCTGGAGGCAAATTTACATACTCTAATTTTGGTAGCCTCATTATTAAATGTGGAATCTATCTTCCTTACTAAAGAACATTTTTTTATCAAGTTGTTATGGGAAACGTTCCGCTTTAAGACACACCGTCACCTTGCTGAAGGATGCTGATGTGACTGTCTTTACAAAGGTCCAATAATGGCCTTAATAGTGCTCCCTGACTGCTTTTCTAGGTGTGGGGGAGCATGGGACCTTCTCTTTGACAGTGCTCGAGCCTAGTAACCAATCACTAGGCCCGGCAAATGTCACCTCCGTTCCCCCCATCTCCTCTGTGAGGAATGAACCTGGAAACTGCGATGATTTTGCCACTTCCATCAGTTCCCATTCAGTGGCTGTTACAGCCAGAAAAGCAGCTAATCAAGCATGATGTGTGATGGTTTAGCTCAGGGGTGTCCAAATTATTGCCCTCCAGGTGTTGAGGAACTGCAAGTCCCATGAGGCCTTGAAAGACTGACATCCACAGGCAAGACACCCTGAGGCATGATGGGACTTGTAGCACTTCAACAGTTGGAGGGCTATAGTTTGGACACCCCTGGTTTAGCTGCTTGGAAGGCAGGGGAGACATGTGGGGTCTAATAGACCCTGATGTCTCCATAAAGAACACACTGCCCAATGCTATCACATAGGGAGCTTGTTAACCCCCCTTGCCATAGCAATAAAGTTAAAAACAAAAAGTGTAAATACAGTAACAAAAAATAATTTTAAAAAAGTTAAAGTACTCTGTGCATACACGCAAAGGCACATATGCCCGTAGGTCCGGCACGTGTAGGGAAATGGCAATTGCACTACATGTGTGAGGTATGGACACAACGTCGGCTGAAATAGACGGGGAGGAATATATTACATTGTCATCTGCATTGCAATACATCCAATGGAGCCCACAGGAGACATCAGGGGGTTTATTTACTAAAGCTGGAGAGTCCAAAATCAGACTCCCTTCTGCATAGAAACCAATCAGCTTCCAGGTTTCATTGCCAAAGCTTCATTGAACAAGCTGAGGTTAGAAGCCGATTGGTTTCTATGCAGAAGGGAGTCTGATTTTGGACTCTCCAGCTTTAGTAAATAAACCCCCAGGGGTCTTTCGGACTCATGGTTTTTATGAGGAGGGGGAACAAAGATGAACCTACCTGTGAAGACGGACTCTCTGACTCCATAACCCAAGGCTCCAGCTGCCAGCAATAGTTTCAGACCCGTCCCCATACCACGGGGCCCACCAGCAAACCGGCTAGCAAGTTCCTTTAGACTCTGTGCCATGACTTCAGGGAAGATAAAAAAAAAAAAAAAAAACTTTATTAGAGACTTTATACATTGGGGTCTACATACAAAGAATTTGCAGACATTTGTCCAAAGAAACAAAAATAAAATGGTGTTGCAGCGTGCGTTAATATCAATAGTACTGAGGACACAATAATTCGAAGAGTGGGGGGGGGGGGGGGACAGAAAACAATAACCCCAAAACAAAAAGGTGATAAGTATAAAGGCCTGAATCCAGACCTAACTAGGTCCGATATGAACTGCGGCAAAGACCACGTGAGTAATAATCAGCAAGTGAACATAAATAATACATAAAAATGTAAAGGCCTGAAACCAGACCACACTAAGTGCAATATAGATGGTGATGAAATACAACATGAACAATAATCAACAAGTGAACATAAAATGATGTATTCAACATAATAGGACTAACACATCCTAAATGAAAGTGCACATAAAACCACAGTGCCAAAATCAAATGGCAAAAAATATGTGCAACACTAATCATAAAAAGGTGCATAAAAGGTATAAATGCATGAAACTATAAACACATCATAAATAATACATAAAAATGAAAAGGCCTGAAACCAGACCAAACTAAGTGCAATATGGATTGTGATGAAACAATGTGCACAATAATCACCAAGTGAACATAAAATTATGTATTTCAACATAATAGGACAAACACATCCTACATAAAAATGGCACAAAAAGCGCCGTGCAAAGAAACCTGTAACAATCAAAAAGCAAAGAAATATATGTGGAAAACGAATCATCATTCAAGGTGCGTGAAACTAAAAATGCACCTTATAATCAGGACTGATGCCAGTGCAAAACGCACAGTGAAAAAAACGTGCGTCAATAAGTCTTCATGGACATCAGTTCTGTGTGCAATGGGAAAAAAACGAATGTTCTTTAGGCCATGTCCTCTACTGAACAATACATCTTTTATAATGAGCGGCATAAAGATCACATTATGGCCACTGGATGGAGATGAGGAGCATATGAAATACATACCGCTTTTTAGGAAGAGATACAATGTAACAATTCTAGAGAACGTTAGAGGGAATTGGCAAATCAAGGTAAATCCCCATCAGTGCCCTTTGCATTAAAGCCTCCGTTACATCAGAGTCCCCATCAGAGCCCCCCCCTGCTTGCATCAGGGTCCCCATCAGAGACCCCCCCCCTTTACATCAGGGTCCCCATCACAGTCCATCCCTCCTTACATCAGGGCCCCCCATCAGAGTTCTTCTCTTACATCAGGGTCCCCATCATAGCCTGCCCCATTACCTTAAGGTCCCCATCAGAGTCCTTCCCTTACATCAGGGTCCCCATCACAGCTCTCATCAAAGTCTGTCCCTCCTTACATCACGGCCCCCATCAGAGTCCTTCCCTTACATCACGGCCCCCATCAGAGTCCTTCCCTTACATCAGGGTCCCCATCACAGCTCTCATCAAAGTCTGCCCCTCCTAACATCAGGGCCTCCATCAGATTTCCTCCCTTACATCAGGGTCCCCATCAGAGTCCGTCCCTCCTTACATCAGGGCCCCCATCAGAGTTCCTCCCTTACATTAGGGTCCCCATCAGAGCCCCCCCCATTACATTAGGGTCCCCATCAGAGCCCCCCCCATTACATCAGAGTCCCCATCACAGTCCATCCCCCATACATCAGGGCCCCCCATCAGAGTCCTTCCCTTACATCAGGGTCCCCACCACAGCTCTCATCAAAGTCTGTCCCTCCTTACATCACGGCCCCCATCAGAGTCCTTCCCTTACATCAGTGTCCCCATCACAGCTCTCATCAAAGTCTGTCCCTCCTTACATCAAGCCTCCATCAGAGTTCCTCCCTTACATCAGGGTCCCCATCACAGTCCGTCCCTCCTTACATCAGGGCCCCCATCAGAGTCCTTCCCTTACATCATGGTCCCCACCACAGCTCTCATCAAAGTCTGTCCCTCCTTACATCAGGGCCTCCATCAGAGTTCCTCCCTTATATCAGGGTCCCCATCAGAGCCCCCCCCCTTACATCAGGGTCCCCATCACAGTCCATCCCCCCTTACATCAGGGCCCCCCATCAGAGTTCTTCCCTTACATCAGGGTCACCATCATAGCCTGCCCCCTTACCTTAAGGTCCCCATCAAAGTCCTTCCCTTACATCAGGGTCCCCATCACAGCTCTCATCATAGTCTGTCCCTCCTTACATCAGAGTCCCCATCACAGCCTACCCCCTTACCTCAAGGTGCCCATCAGAATCCTCCATTTACATCAGGTTCCCCATAAGAGCCTGCCCCCCTTACACGAGAGTCCCCATCAGAGCCTGCCCCCCTTGCATTGTAGCCGAGCACATAGACAGCCTCTGCTGACCTTAACCCTGAATCTGTGCACGTCGAGGATACACCCCTGACCCTTGCTGAGGGCTAGATAAAATTTTGTAGCGGCTGTAGTTTGGAGGCCCTGCTCTAGAGTTCTCTAGAATGGTTACATTGTATCTCTTGTTACAGAGTTTTACTTCCTATGCTCCTCAGCTCCATCTAGTGGCCATAAGTATCCAAAAAAGTAACATTTGTTCAGAAGAGAAAATAACCTGAAGAACATTTGCTTTTGGCCAACTGACACAGAACGAATGTACAAGCAGATTCGCAGGACGAATGTCTGGGAGGACAAATGTCTGGGAGGGACAAATGTCTGGGAGGACAAATGTCTGGGAGGACAAATGTCTGGGAGGACACAAATGTCTGGGAGGACAAATGTCTGGGAGGACAAATGTCTGGGAGGACAAATGTCTGGGAGGACAAATTGCTTCAAAAACAAGGCAAAGCTTGCCAAACGTATGCGGCTATTTCTATAAAGACTCCACTACGCAGACATCTATTAACCTCCGGTGTGTGTGGACTCCTCCTGCACTGACTGCACCGGGTGAATTACTAATCGGTTACATCATACACTGGGGGTGCGTAGGGAAGCAAAGCTACAGATTAGGGTGACAGTCTGATACAACTGAGCTTTTTTCTGAAGTCCCGCAGCCAAGCAACTAGCATGTCCTGAGTGACGTCAGGTATTTGAGGACCAGGGGGGGTCAGGGGCAAGGACCCGCGACGAGGACCAGTGGGTCAGGGGTTCAAGGGTAAGGACCTACGATGAGGTGGGGGAGGGGGGGGTAACAGGCAAGGATTGGGGATCAGGAACAAGGACAGGGGTCGAGGAAAAGAACCTGAAATGGGAACCGGGGGGGTCGGGGGACAAGGACCTGAGATGAGGACCGGGGGGGTCGGGGGGCAAGGACCTGAGATGAGGACCGGGGGGGTCGGGGGGCAAGGACCTGAGATGAGGACCGGGGGGGGTCGGGGGGCAAGGACCTGAGATGAGGACCGGGGGGGTCGGGGGGCAAGGACCTGAGATGAGGACCGGGGGGGTCGGGGGGCAAGGACCTGAGATGAGGACCGGGGGGGGGTCGGGGGGCAAGGACCTGAGATGAGGACCGGGGGGGTCGGGGGGCAAGGACCTGAGATGAGGACCGGGGGGGTCGGGGGGGCAAGGACCTGAGATGAGGACCGGGGGGGTCGGGGGGCAAGGACCTGAGATGAGGACCGGGGGGGGGTCGGGGGGCAAGGACCTGAGATGAGGACCGGGGGGGTCGGGGGGCAAGGACCTGAGATGAGGACCGGGGGGGTCGGGGGGCAAGGACCTGAGATGAGATGAGGGGGGCAAGGACCTGAGATGGGACCGGGGGGTCGGGGGGCAAGGACCTGAGATGAGGACCGGGGGGTCGGGGGGCAAGGACCTGCGATGAGGACCGGGGGGTCGGGGGGCAAGGACCTGCGATGAGGACCGGGGGGTCGGGGGGGGCAAGGACCTGCGATGAGGACCGGGGGGTCGGGGGTCGGGGGGCAAGGACTTGCGATGAGGACCGGGGGGTCGGGGGGCAAGGACCTGCGATGAGGACCGGGGGGTCGGGGGGCAAGGACCTGAGATGAGGACCGGGGGGTCGGGGGGCAAGGACCTGAGATGAGGACCGGTGGGTCGGGGGGGCAAGGACCTGAGATGAGGACCGGGGGGGTCGGGGGGGCAAGGACCTGAGATGAGGACCGGGGGGTCGGGGGGCAAGGACCTGAGATGAGGACCGGGGGGTCGGGGGGCAAGGACCTGAGATGAGGACCGGGGGGGGGTCGGGGGGCAAGGACCTGAGATGAGGACCGGGGGGTCGGGGGGGCAAGGACCTGAGATGAGGACCGGGGGGGTCGGGGGGGCAAGGACCTGAGATGAGGACCGGGGGGTCGGGGGGCAAGGACCTGAGATGAGGACCGGGGGGGGTCAGGGGCAAGGATCAAGGGTAAAAGACCTGAGTTGGGGATCAGGGGTAAGGACCTAAGATGAGGACAAGGGGGTCAGGGATCAAGGGTAAGGACATGAGATGAGGACCCGGGGGTGGGTGCCCGGTTTTGTCACAGGCAAGGATCGGGGGTCAGGAACAAGGACCAGGGGTCAGGGAGAAGCCCCTGAGATGAGGACCAGAGGGTCAAGGGCAAGGAGCTGAGATGGGGGGGGGGGGTGTCAAGGGTAAGGACCTGAGATGAGGACCTAGGGGTCAAGGGTAAGGACCTGAGATGAGGACCTAGGGGTCAAGGATGAGGACCTGAGATGAGGACCTAGGGGTCAAGGGTAAGGACCTGAGATGAGGACCTAGGGGTCAAAGGTAAGGACCTGAGATGAGGACCTAGGGGACAAAGGTAAGGACCTGAGATGAGGACCTAGGGGTCAAGGGTAAGGACCTGAGAAGAGGACCTAGGGGTCAAGGATGAGGACCTGAGATGAGGACCTAGGGGTCAAGGGTAAGGACCTGAGATGAGGACCTAGGGGTCAAGGGTAAGGACCTGAGATGAGGACTAGGGGTCAAAGGTAAGGACCTGAGATGAGGACCTAGGGGTCAAGGGTAAGGACCTGAGATGAGGACCTAGGGGTAAGGACCTGAGATGGGGACCAGGGAGTTATGGGTGAGGAT